CACAGGACCAAGTTCGCACACGCGGATCCGTAGTTATCACAGGTCCACAGATCGTGGACTCTGATATCATGTTAAAGTCATCTTAGACTCCCATCTCAAAACCTATTCACAATGAGTGGGGTAACCTGTAGAGTTTATAAACAGGTGACAAATTCTTCACGACATCAATATGAGATTTTTTGTCCCAAGAGATGTAACGTCATAATTATTTTCTTTGTATGTGGTCGTCTATGAGAATGTGCAAATATGTTTCTCAAAATCTACATAGTAGTATGTAACAAGTTTCGTTCTACGTGCAGTTTTGTACTCAACAACCTCTATACATTTGTGACATTTTAATTTTCTAACTTAAAAATATTTCTCTTGGTTCCAAAAGATAATGCACATTCTAAAGTTTGTGAACTGTACTGAATAATTTCTTAAGTCTAATTTATCTATTTTTTAAAATATTTAAGAAACCTAGATGAAAAATATAAAAATACTTATACAATACAAATTAAGAAAAAACCCCCGAAAAAAACAACAATTTAAAACCGAAAAAAGTCCCCAAAAAAGAAAGACTGGATCCGAAAAAATTGGCGGATCTACCCAAAGCTTTACATGCGTCGTCAATTCTATCATATTCTTTTTCGGTTAGCAAATTAGACAAAATCAGCTAACGGTTGGATAGTTTAGGGTAATATTGACAAAATCGACCATTTAGACATTTTAGTCTTTTTTTTTTTAAAGCTTAAAAGGTGCGTTTAAAAAATATGAAGTTTCCACAGAAGCCAGAAAACATACAACCAGTGATGCTAGTTAGTGCAATATCAGAAGGTTAAAAATTAAGAAAGTAGATAATCAAACGCAGAATGTTGATTACCATTTCGGCTGATTAAATTGATAAGTTAGGCCAAGTGTTTACTCAAGAAATTCACACAAAACAGCCACTACATCCATGCACATGCCCCCCTAATCACCCCTCTCCATCATTGTCGCCCAAAACCCCCAAAACAGCCCCAGTTTTATGATCATCAATTTTTTTTTACTCCGTTAATCCCCAAAATTAAATCCAAAACAAGCTAACCCATCACCTATGCAATCCAAACCAAAAGCCTCTCTTTCTCCCATCTTTCCCGAATAAAATCCAACCAAAAGAAAATAAAATTTAATCACTACATTTCATAAAAAGTAGAATATAAACTAAAGGAAATAAAATATAATCAAAATAATAAAAGTAAAACTTACTGTAACTAGAATTAGGACTTCAGATTTGGAAAACTTCCTTCTTAAAGCTAACCCTTTATGGTTTATATTAGTATCCATTGAGAAGGACAAATCTAAGGGACTAATTTCTACATCGTTAGTTGACCTTTCTTTGTCAACTATTTCTTTTTCCTACCGCAAATTTTGATGGTGAGAGCATGTATATATATATATATATATATATATATATATATATATATATATATATATCCTACTATATTAAACAAAACCTCCCTTTCAAACACCTCATATGATCGCTACGTGGCATGTAGAAAATACTAAATCGCCTTTGCCTAACCATAACTAAATTACTAAATCTCCCTTTGCACTTTACGTGACACGTTTTTTTTTTAAATTTTTTCTTTATGTTTCATTCAACTAGAGTGGTTTTTTAAATTGAATTGATCAATTAGGTTTTTTGTTACAAAGTGTCAATTTTGTTTTAAGCGTATACCCTTCGGATGAAACTTATTACAAAGCTATTAAAAATCTCCAAAACTAAGTATTGATTTGGCACTACCAATGGAGAACGTTAATAAATCATCTTACTAATATTTAAATTTATTAGGATGCTTTTATATTTTATCTAACATTTACTTCAACACATATATTCGATTAAGCTATTTATATTTAATAAGTAACACTTATAAAACATTTCTAAACCATACATGGCGAGATACAATTTATTTATTTTTTTTGGCGAAATACAAATATTTCTATGATCACACTTATAAAACATTTCTAAATCCTTCAAACATTTCTAAAATATATCGCTCCAAATACAAAATTTTATTTTTTTCAAATATAAACATTTCTAAGATCTACAAATAGACTGGGCCAGGGTCGCGCATTGCGCGACCAGACATCACTAGTATATATATATAGGGTGAGAAGCTCTATTGATAAAGGGTAAATAGGGAGGTGTTTTCTGATGAAGGGTGAGGTGAACAAGGATATTCACTTGAGATTATTACTCTTGAGTTCCAGATGTACGTTTATCGTTTTTTCCTTTTTATTTTTTAAATTAATTTATTTATTTACAATTAAAGGCTCCAATTCTACACTTTTGTAATTTCCTTCCCCAAAGTTTGATCTTAATCTTTATAAGACCTTTAATTTTTATTTTTATTTTTTGTTTCTTTTTAGGTTAGCCCATCTATAATCCAAATATTATATAGAAAGTTTTTATTTAAATATGTAAATTAGAATTTTTTTTAAAATGAGCGGGCCTTACACGGTGCATGTTAATCTCTACTCGAATTTGATATAGAATTATATTCTAAATTCAAAATAGTTGTATTTAAACATCCATTAATAAAAGTTTATAAAACACGCATTGTAGCCACAAATATAATCATAATAATAATGAAAAAAGTTAAGACACGACCCATTTTTATCGACTATTCTTTCTGTCTGAAAAAATAGTCTTGAGATTTGTAATTTTTTTTTTGGTATGAATTTTGTCTCTCTTTTTTTTGACAGAGGTAGTATCACTATTTTTTACTATATTAAAAACAAAAACCACATTTAAGAGAAAGCACCATCATTTGCCATGTGCCATTTCCACATTATATTTTTAAAATAAATTTTTATTGCCACATCTCCTAAATTTAAAAGGCAAATGCAGTCTAAATTCACTTCCACCTCCTATTTTCGTCAAAACAAAAAAAAAAATCACAGGTTCATAAAAAACCCAAATTCTCATCCACATCTCCTCGACAATCGACTCCTTAATCAACCCCTTCTTCACAATTAAAAAAATAAATAAATTCCTCATCAATCATCAATTGAGAATATGTGGTGAAATATACTCCTTTCCTATTAGCATGTTCAATCTTTTCATTAGTGATGATCAACTATATCTTAATCGGATAAAATTTCAATTTCAAAAAATATTCTCTTTATGAAAAAAAAAAATTCTCATTGATCTTGCTTCGGCCGTTGTGGTGGTGCCATTACAGGTATTATAATTTAAATGATTTTATTTCCACAGATCATTGGTTTGGCTTTTATTATTTTTTGTTTTTCCCGTTTAAGAATAGTGCGATTACTATTATTTTTATGCGTCCATCCGTTACAACTACCGTAGCCATTGTCAGGTTGTATGATGTGATTTCTTATTTGGTTAGTTAGCTTAGAATTTTTGTATGATTTTAGTTATGTTTGGATTGAATTGATTGATTGGGTTTTTGTTACAAAGTGTAGTTTTTTAAATTTGTTTTTTATGTTTCATTCAATGAGAGTGGTTTTCTTTTTTTAATTATGGAGTCTCAGGTTTTTTTTTCGTATATGGCCTATTATGAAGTGTGTTTTTTCTTTATTTAATTGCTTTTGATTTTGTTTCATACTCCCAGTTGACCAATTATTATTATTATTATTATTATTATTACTATTATTATTATTATAATTATTATTATAATTATTTGATTTGCAAATGAAGCACGTTTCTTTTTTTGAGTTCGGGGTTTCATGAATATACTTTTTTGAATTTGATTTTTGGACTTTTTTTAGTTCCTCATCATATAAATCGGTCAGGTCGCTTCTTTTAACTAATTTATGGGTAATCTTTTTATGAATTTGAGGTGGAGAGGGAAGGAATAATGTTTCTACGTTTATTTGTGTTTTTATACATCATTTTTACCTACAGAAAAAAAATAAAAATTCTCAAATGTTAATGGGCTATCTTTTACTTTTTTGTTTACTTTGATATGGTGAGGTGAGTTCTTTTTTGCTATATCTTGAAACCTATGTAAATTTACATTATTTTCATTCCCATATTTGTGATCAACCAGTTTCAACAATTAACCAGTTTCAAAATCATATTTTTTATATTTTACTACCTATAAACTTTTGGAAGAAATAGTTCCAACAATTACACGTAGACCCTTTGGAGGAAGCTAACTACAAACCTATTATAAATCTCCAAAACTAAGTATTGATTTGGCACAAGCAACGGAGAACATCAATAAATTATCTTACTAATATTTAAACTTATTAGGCTGCTTTTATATTGTGTCTAGCATTTGCTTCAAGACATATATTTGATCAAGTTTATTTATATTTAAGAAGTAATACTTATAAGATATTTCTAAAATCTTCAAACATTTCTAAAACGTACAGGTCCAAATATAATTTATTTTTTTGCCGAATACAAACATCACTTTTATAAAATATTTCTAAAATTCTTCAAATATTTCTAAAATATATCGGGTCAAATACAAAATATTTTTTTTTTCAGACACAAATATTTCCAAGATCTACAAATATACTGGGCAAGGTCGCGTATTGCGCGACCAGACATCACTAGTCTCTTAAAAAAACTACAAATCAACAGTAATGTAAAAAAACTACAAATTTAGAAAATCATGACTATTTTTCTTAGACAATAATTTTTTTTTTTTTTGTCTCTCGAATGTTTTCTCTTTTAAATTATTTTTTTCCACAAAAGTTTGCATATGTACTGCAAATAATTCATTTTTCATCAAGCATATTTTTTAGAGAAAAAATGTCCCCTTTAGCCAAAAGAACCAAATAAAAAGGAAAAGAAACCTCTCCGAGTCTCCGTGTCAACAACGCTACGTGTCACTCAGATATAGCGAGTGTTAAGCACGCTCCGATCGGTTGCAAGTGGTGATGATGAAGAACAAATTGCATGCAACTGGGGCCACAGACCGCCACCACCTCTTCCCCCGTCACTCTTTTTTTTTGCCCCATTCTTTAAATACATTTCCTCTCATCCTTTTTCCCACCCTTCCCAATTCCATCCACCACCACTCTTCTCCTCCCTTCACAGCCACGGTCACCGACAAACACTCTCCGCCCTGGTATTCCTCACCGGAAACGCGTTTAGCAACATTTTTTGTGCTTTTGAGTTAGTGTTTTTAGCTTTTTTCCTGAAGAAATGGCAGGGAGAGTAGATCTGGATGGAAATCCGATAAAGCCGATTACTATTTGCATGATTGGGGCCGGGGGTTTCATCGGTTCCCACCTCTGTGAGAAATTGATGTCGGAGACCGACCACGCTGTCCTCGCCGTCGACGTTTACAATGATAAGATCAAGCATTTGCTGGAGCCAGCTTCCCTCCCCTGGGCTGGTCGTATCCAATTCCACCGCATCAATATCAAGAACGACTCTCGTCTCGAAGGACTCATCAAGATGGCGGATCTCGTGATTATTCGTTCCTTTTTTTTTTAATCTTTTGCTGAAATCCATTTGAATCTTCAATCATTTCTCTGGTTCTTGAAATTGTGCTTTTGTTTTCTTCGTATGTATCGGAACGCAATTTTGGTATATTTTGCTCTCTGAATTCTAGATCTTGGATCTGACCTGTTGGTGCGGAAAAGAATCTTTGTTTTTTTAATATGTTTGTTCTTGGAGTGTGGAATTTTCAGTGTGCACTTTCTTTTTTTGCTGTGATGTTGGCTTTTTGTGTTTAATGATTGATGCAGTGTTCTTTAAGTCATTCGTAAATGTCAAACACTGATTAATATTTTATTAATTTCGGTATTAGTTAAGTTGAAAATGTTGAAATGATGTGTGATTTTGACTGTTCTACTGAATATTGTTTTTTTCCTTGTGGACTGATTCTACTGTAGACCATAAATCTTGCTGCGATCTGCACTCCAGCTGATTACAACACCAGGCCTCTTGATACAATCTACAGCAACTTCATCGATGCTTTGCCCGTGGTAAGCTATTTGAGTTTCTGAAGATCTTCAATTATGGCTTTTGTTTCTAAGTCTGGGATGTTTAAGATCGGGATTTATTTTGGAGAGTAATATGTATTCGGTTATGATTAGTGGTGAATTCATTGGTATTTTGTATAAATTTGTCCTTGATGAGTTGCATTGTGTTAATCTTGCTGATTTGAATCTCTGCAGGTTAAGTACTGTTCTGAAAATGGCAAGCGTCTCATTCACTTCTCTACCTGTGAAGTGTATGGGAAAACGATTGGTAGCTTTTTACCTAAAGATAGCCCTCTGAGGCAGGTGAGACTTTGCTTTCCTCTCCATCTGATGTTTTGACTTTATTTTTCCTGAAGGTTGCCCAGATCTGTGCTTTTCTCGATCATGACATTCTACTTGAATAGTTTTAATCATTTGCTTGTCATGCGTTTTTTCTATTTAAATTAAGGGGCTTCATCTTGTTGTACCTCTCTGCATCTGTTTATTGGTAGTGCAATTTCCTATATAAATATAGTACACTTGAAAGGAGTTCGGTTTTCTTGGATTGATATGGTTAAACCTTGGAAGAGCTGCTTTATAAAGTCCCTGTGGTATACAAAACTACCAAATGCACGTGATGGGCTCTGCTTCCATTAGTAACAGTCAACAGTGACGTTTGAAGTTTTGATGTTCCCACATGCTGGTTGTCTATTAAAATCATGGGTAGTTAAAACTCGAGTTCTAGCTGTGAATTCTGTGTGGTTTAGATATGGGTCATCGCCTGATACTATAATCATGTATGGAGTTTTAGCTTGGTAAACACTCCACCCAAACATATGTTCTGTTGTTAAGCTCTTTTGTTTTTAGTTTTGTGTTTTGCTTAAGTGCGGTATTGGGTTACAGTCTTATCATGTTACCAAAACTATGCTAAGGTTTCCCTCTTGGTTGACCTATCTGGTACTACGTGCTGGGATTGGTTTTTGAAACAGTCGAGTTTTGGTTATTGGTTGAATACATGCTAATACAGTTGGACTTCGGTTTTTTCCTGACATGCAGTCTTTTCCATCATTTTCTTTAACAGGACCCTGCTTACTATGTGTTATCAGAAGACACCTCCCCTTGCATTTTTGGTTCTATTGAGAAGCAGAGGTGGTCCTATGCATGTGCAAAGCAATTGATTGAGAGGCTTATCTATGGTTGGTTATGTTTATTTATCTGGAAATTTCAAAACTTGAACGTGCAGCAATCTTTTCTGACTAATCTTTTAAAATGTAGCTGAGGGTGCGGAAAATGGTCTTGAATTCACCATTGTCAGGCCATTTAATTGGATTGGTCCTAGAATGGATTTCATTCCTGGAATTGACGGTCCCAGTGAGGGTGTTCCAAGAGTCCTTGCGTGTTTTAGTAATGTGAGTTTGATTGTTATTATTCTTTTCTTTAGTTTTGGCATTTGTAATGTTGTTGCTGTATTCGTAAACTACTTGATTTGAATCTTTACAGAACCTTTTGAGGCATGAGCCACTGAAGCTTGTCGATGGAGGCCAGTCTCAGAGAACCTTTGTTTACATTAAAGATGCAATTGAAGCTGTTCATCTGATGATTGTAAGTCTTACTTGGTTCGCCTTTCATACTTATGCCCCCATATCTGAGTTGTAGCTAATTGGTTTTCATTTGCTTAGGAAAACCCTGCTAGAGCAAATGGTCATATATTTAATGTGGGTAATCCCAACAATGAAGTGACAGTAAGGCAGCTAGCAGAAATGATGACTCAGGTGAGTGATTATTGCTGTGTAGATGTTTTTCATTGAAAGGGCGTTCTACTCTTTCTATTCTTTATATGTTCTTTCTCCTTAATAAGCTTTGTCATCAAATGATAGGTTTATTCGAAGGTAAGTGGAGAACCTCCACTAGAAGTGCCTACAATTGATGTTAGCTCAAAAGAATTTTATGGTGAGGGATATGACGATAGTGACAAGAGGATTCCAGACATGACCATCATCAACAAGCAGCTTGGTACAAACTTGTTGCCCTTTTTGCAGCTAAAGTTTTTAATCCAAGACATTGTTTTGACTGTTAAATTTAATCCCGTGGTTATAATTCCAGGTTGGGATCCGAAGACATCACTCTGGGACTTGCTTGAATCCACCCTTACTTATCAACACAGGACGTATGCTGAGGCTATTAAGAAAGCAACATCAAAGCCAGTTGCAAGCTAAGGAATGTTATGGAATGGGTTGTTTTACTATCCTGCTGCCTGTTTTCCGTTGGTTTAATTCTTTCCAGTGATCTCTTGAGTATATCGATATGGTTCATTGTCACATACACCACCTTTGTTCATTTTCGATGTGTTAGTAGTCTATAGCTCCCAGTTGTAAGGATGAGTCCCCAATATCTTGATATCAAAAAACAGCATTCTAGTAGATGAAGAGCTGCCATATTTTGCTGAACCAAAGCCACTGGGCTGTGGCACCTTCCCTTAGAAAATTACAATTTGAGAAAGTATACAAAGATAGCCTGTCCATTGGGCCAGTTTATTTGTTCTTACTCATTTGATCTCCAATGTAATTGCAATTATATAGGATATTTGTTCCATGTACGTCAACATTTAGTTTCCTTAATGCTTTGGTACTTGCTTTTTCTCCTGGCGAACATTGAAAGCTGTACGTAGGAGTTAAAAGTGGAAGCCATGAGTAACACAAAATCCATCTTTTGGCCCTTTTTTTTTTTGTTGCGATCACACATAAAACTAGATGCAGCTTGCCTTGTCTTTTGTAATTGTACACGATGAGTATATCCTTGATCTGTAGAAGGTTTTTTTGTTCTAGAGCAGTAGCAGGATTTATTGCTAATTTCTCTCATCTCTTACAGACTGACGCATCTACGAATTCTCCTCCTGTTGGTGAAATGCGCAAAAAAAGAAAAAAAAAAGTTTCTTGAATAAAATCTCTAGTATCGTCTGTATGTCACATTGTATGATGCAGTTTTACTTGTACGTTTACCACCAAGGTACCTCTTCGGATTAGCTAACCAATGATTTCGGACATTTTTTTTTATTTTTTATTTTTATATACCATGGAAGCAGAAGCTTAGTTTAGTGAATGATTTGGGACATTTAGTGAATGATGTACCAAATTTATTAAATCTGAGCTCACAACAATCAATCTTATTGTTAGCTCTACTTAGAGCAGGAGGAACCAAGTTTTTAGACGTTTCCAGGGATTAACCGTCAGAGTAGTTTTGTGAAGGGGCCGGCCTGCGAATTGAAATGTTTTGGGTTGTTGTACAGCCCTTAGTTCGAACTGTTAATCATGCAAAAGGCCCAAACTGAATTTTCACATGTCTTTTGTTTTGTAGTTTTGCCAGAACAAAACTAAAACATAATAAAAAGGCCGTTTGCACACCTGGTGGGACTCGAACCCACAATCGTCTGATTAGAAGTCAGACGCCTTATCCATTAGGCCACAGGTGCCTCAATTGTTTGGAAGTGAAAACTTGTAAAATTTAACACAAAAAGGTTTTTTTTTTTTTTTTTTATAAAGTTAGAAGATCCATAAAACAATGAACCTAATCATTTCAATTCTGTTGATAATGAATACCATTGATAGAGTTTAGTTACCAACCATAATTATTTATTTTCCTTTTCTGTATAAAGGGTATACATATAGCTAATGGAACAAATATATTCAATTGAGTTGTACCACTTAGTCTTACATTACATGTAGTTATTGTTTTATCATAAGGGTTATGAATTGTGATACTCTTGTATTCCAAGTTTGTTTCTCTTTTCTTTCTACCGAGAGCAACATTTTATCATCATTGCTAAACACTGTTGTCCATAATTTTTCATATTACTATTTCATTATTTCACCGTTCTTTTACATTTTTTCTCTACTACTTTTATCTTAAATACACAATAGAGAGGCCGCTCTTTCTTTATTTTCTTTTTAATCTAGTTCAGCTCAACTCAAAAAACAAGTGTAGATTTAACGTTGACAATTCAACCTTCTCTAATGAGGGAGTTAAATATGTCATTAGAGATTTAGAGCTGTTCTTATGCGGTGTGATATAAGTGCAAATTCAATCATCTATGTATATACGCACAAAACTTTAGCTCTCAATCTTATAAAGCATTTTTTTTTTTTATAAAAAAAAATCGATTCTATGATCTGATTGCAAAAACTTTGGCTATTTGACATCACAATGATCTAATTTGACAGGTATCAACATTTTAGCAGTTGCATAATCTTGTTTCCAACTAGTATACTCTTAATTTCTAGTAACACATTTAGCAAAACATGCCTTGTAAGTAAAGCAAATAGACCCCTCAAAAAAATTCCCTCAAGTTAGTCCTTAACCCACAAAATTAGTATCAAATTCACATACTAAACAGTGAAGAAAAAGATGGACCATTGCTTTCTTTTTCTATCCTCCTAAAAAAGGGTAAAAATTATGCCCACAAATCATAATCAAACCGTCATTAGTAATTTCTCCCACCCCACAAAACCCAATGCCATTTCAGCATTCATTAGATCTCCACTTTTACAACCCCACAGTTTCTTCCATTATTCTTTTCTTGCCTTCTCCCCACTCACTCACTCACACCACCTGTTCGACAAAAAGCGAGACCCAACCACAAACACACGCTTATCAAAAACTATTTTTCATACCTATAAGACTAATAGTTTACTCTTTCTTCTCATCATTAACCGTGTCCCCTTGTCCCTCTTTACTCCTTAGTTGCCGGCCTTGATTCTCTCGGGGACACTATTCAAAACCCACAAAAGATTTTTACCATAATGGGACATGGTGATATAAAGTTCGAATTTTTGGTGAAACGATGCCTTTTGCCAGTGGCTTCGTGTTTTGGCTTTGTGGGTTCTGTTTATAATACCAATTCTGCTGCTGCTGCTTCTTCTGTTAGTGTATTACATGTGTTTTTGGGAGCGTATTTAAGTAATGGTTGGACCATTCTGTAGCTGTCTTTGTGTCGTGTAGGGAAATTAACAACAGTGAGTTCGGCTTTTTGTGAGCATAGAGCTGAGGGAGAGATTACAGAGGCTTAGCTGTAAAGTTGGGGAGGAGCCCTGAAAGTAAAAATGATTACTTTGATTGCTTTTTTGTGTTTATAATTTCACGTAATTTTTGGGAGTTCAAATTTAGTTTGACCCATGTGGACTTCCATTCCCTGTGGTTGCTGCGGTTGGTGGCCTGTCCTGGCTTTATTTTAAATGCTGGGATTCTTTAATTTAATCAAGCAATTGAGAATTTATTCCGCCATATCTGATTCTTCAAATTGAAAAAGACGCAAAGGTTGAATTGAGTTTGAATTGAATTGGGTTCAGGTGAGTGATTGTTGTTGGCAGAAAGAAAGGTCTTCTTAGTTGTGGAGGGTCAAATGGCTCCAGCTGCTGGGAAGGTTGCTGGTTTGCACCGAGAAGGAAATGACTGGTATTTCTCTTCATCTCCCTAACTTTTATTTGTGATCATACATGAAGAAATATGCGTATTAAGTTGCAAAGTACAAAGCTTGAATTAACTTTGATCCTGTCCAACTCCAACGGATGATTTCAACAGTTAAGAACATGTCTACTTTCTGTTATATAGGGAAGTTTTATAACTAAATTACCACATGCAATGTGGGATGGAATGCCCTTGTGGCTCCATTAGACCGGTCCTCCGAATTTGGTTTGTGAATAAGAACTAGCTTTGCTGTTTTGGTGTTGGGAGGTGAATCGAGTGAAATTATGTTCTTATCAGAAGGATGATGTCGGATGACCCTTCCATAATTGACGGAGATTTCATTATTGGACTACTAGACTGACATGAATTCCTTCCTCCCTAATGTGCAAAGTTGAACTCTTATATTTTTCAAGTTTTAGATGGTGAACTATTAATTGATATTAAGAATAATGTGCGGCTTTGTGTATTCGACAGGTTTTATAATGCAAGTTTGCCAAGTGATATCACTTTGGTGGTGGATGGTGTTAACTTTCACCTTCACAAGGTACTTACTCATCCCGCAATGTATAACAAGTTGAATATCACCGGTTGTTTTGTCTAATTTTTATTCCTTTTTAATCTTTTGGTTGAATGCTTTTGATATCATCGTTTATTTAGCCAGCTGGTTTGTTTCAGTTTCATTGTTCCAACTGAACTTTTTAATGTCAAAGGATGTAGATCTTAGTGATAAAGATTAGGATTATTACAATTTGTGAACATTCAATAGTGTTTGTCATCTCTGTTCTTATCTTTTATCTTTTGGTAGAGATAGAAGTGTAAAAGAACAAATCTACGTTTAAAAATGTTACTCCTTAACTATCAGCAAACTATAGGGAACCAAGTCATGGAGGCTATTCAAAACAAAGAACATTTAGTTCAATGTGTCTCCCTGAGTCTGAGTTTTGATTTTCTGCCAACTTCTACACTTTGTTATTCTTATATTTTTTGGAAATGGTACAATTTGTTTTTTGAATGAATTATTTTCCTTATTTTTTTATGAAACTTAACAAAACATAAATTCACCCCAAGGATACACTTCGAAATGTTCTATTATTTCTTTCTGGTTTACAAAATGTTCTATTATATTATTAATAAAGCTAATTCTTTCTGCTGTTTAGTTTCCACTTGTATCAAGATGTGGGAGGATTGCCAAGATACTTGAAGATTCTCAAGATTCCCATGAGGGAAAGTTTATCACGACATTAGAGGATTTCCCTGGTGGTACTGACATATTCTTGATTGCAACTAGATTTTGTTATGGTGCTCGGGTGGAATTTACAGCAAGGAACGTGGTAATGGTTTATTGTGCTGCGGACTATCTTGAAATGACGGAAGAATATGGAGAAGACAATTTATTGTCAAAATCAGAAGGTTATTTCCACAATAATGTTCTTAAGAACTGGAAGGATTGTCTTTTGGCTCTCCAGAGCTGTGAAACAGTTATTTCAAGAGCAGAGAAACTGCAAATTACAAGTAGATGTTTAAATGCCGTTGCTACGATGGTTTGTACAGATCCTAGTTTGTTTGGTTGGCCTATGTTGATGTATGGTAGTTTGCAAAGCCCTGGAGGTAGCATCCTGTGGAACGGAATCAATACAGGTGCAAAGATCCAAAGCGCAATAGAATCAGATTGGTGGTTTGAAGACGTCTCTTATCTCAGCGTGCACTTGTTCGAGAGGTTGGTTCATGCCATGGAAGCAAGAGGTATAAAACCTGACAATCTAGCAAGTGCTATAATGTATTACTGCAGAAAGTACCTGCCTGGTCTGAGCAGGTGGCAGGGTGGACAAAGTGGCAAGACCAGAACAGTTGCGAGTTTCAGCCTGACCCCAGCTCCTGTTGATCAAAAGGCTCTTTTGGAGAGCATAATCAAGTTGCTCCCAGAGATAAAAGGGAAATCTTTCTGTCGTTTCCTGTTGGGGCTTCTACGAGTGGCTTTGATTTTGGGTGTGGATCAAAGTTGTGTGAACTCTCTAGAGAAAGTTATAGGGATGCAGCTGGATCAAGCTACTTTAGATGGGCTATTGATTCCAAGTTACTCAGACTCTGATACACTTTACAATACTGACTGTGTGGAGCGAATGATCTCGCATTTTGTGTCCTTTGAACCAACACGAACGTCAGTATCGCCATCTTCCTTCAATCTAGAGGCATCTCCATCATCGGAACCTTTGAAAAGGGTTGCGAGATTGGTTGATGGATACATGGCCGAGGTTGCTTCTGATGTTAACCTGAAACCTGACAAATTGCGTTCACTTGCAGAAGCATTGCCGGAATCATCAAGATCTTTGCATGATGGGTTGTACCGAGCACTTGATATCTACTTTAAGGTAAGTTATTATTCACCCTATTCATTCGCTAATATGAAAATATGAAAATTAATGTGAAAATATCTACATGATGGGTAGACTTTTTGTCATTTAAAATTAATGTGAAAATATGCATAGCGGAGTGTTCATTGATGATATTTTTCTAAAGCATGTTGGCTGTGAGTCTGTTTCATGATTCAGTTACTTAGATCCTTCTGTACTTAAGGATTCCATATCTAAATTTTAATCATGCTTCAACTTTCTAGCTCTCAAATGATTACTATCTCTGAATTTGTGGATAGGCTGACAGTTTTGTTGAATTAATTGTGCAGGAACACCCATGGCTTCAGGAAAAAGATAAGGAACAGCTTTGCAATATTATTGACTTTCAGAAGCTCTCCATAGATGCTTGCGCTCATGCATCTCAAAACGAAAGGCTACCACTCAGAGTTATCCTCCAAGTTCTATTCTTTGAGCAGTTGCAGCTGAAAACAGCTCTTGCTGGCTGCCTTCATGTCTTGGAAGCTGAAACTGCTCCTCCAGCACCAACGATTGCCACAGGTGAGGTTGCAGGTCAGATTCTCCAGAGAGATGGGTGGATGACAGTCATTCGCGAAAATCAGGTCCTGAAAGTGGATATGGAAAGGATGAGATCTAGAGTAGGAGAGCTTGAACAAGAATTCAGTAAAATAAAACAAGAGATGAAAAGGGTGACAAAGTCACACAGCTCTATCAGTTCTCCTCGTTTTCTTGCAAAGAGCATCGGCTGCAAATTGCTTCCCCATTCTTCCAATGCTCAAACAGACACTGTTGATAGTGGAGAACCTAGTCCAAGGGCCTCTGGTGAGCATGCCCGACTTCATCAGTTAAGGCACCGTAAAAGTTTCTCGTTGTTTTGAGTTTCCTGTCAATCTGAAGCTGCTGTCCTTACACATTTCTGCAATTGGAATCTATCTTCTGAGATTGAGGGCTCACATGTGAAGATTAGTTTGCAGTATTATAGGTTAAGGTGGCAAGTAAATAGGTTAAAATTACCCATCTGAAGGGAAAAGGGCTACTTGCATTTTAGTTCTCAGATGTTGTGTTCATATTTGTACATGTCCAGCTTTTAAAATATCCAACTTGTACAGTAGTGAAATGGTGCAATTTTTTTGTTTGTGTTTCCTATCCTTCTTTTTGAGATTAACTGTTCATTAATTCCCTCCAAACCACAATGTGTGTACACGAACTGGGACAATAGATTACATAGCCAAATTTTGTTCTAGCTTCTGGCACACAGGAAAGCCACAGAAACTAATGTTCAGATTCAGAAGCGCCAATTTCAACTCAAAACCCGGCCAACTACGCTGAAATCTTCTGGCCAGCCCATCTGACCAATCGAAGCCAAATAATAATAATAATAATAATAATAATAATAATAATAATAATAATAATACAGAATTATACTCCTTATGTCCTAAAAAAAAAAATAGTTCACATTGGTTTTAGAGTTTTGTACTATTTTTAATATAAATTTAAAAACTCAATGTTGACTATTTTTTTTTGGTACGGAGGTAGTAGATCATAAACTGGAACATTATACATGGTGATCGATTCTCGATTAGAAAACATTGGTGTGTCGCGCATAAGATGTTCGGAGCCACATCCGCTAATTTGAATTAGAATCAGGTAAAAAAAAAAAAATTTGAGGGGCAAAGTTCTCATCACAAAATCTTTACTCTATGGTCATATCTGGCTTGAAACCATGTTGCACCCCCTCCGTCTCATAATTATTGTTCAATTTGAATTTTTATTTTTACAAATTATATTAAAAGTAAAATCTCAAATTGGACAATAATTTTAGGACAGAGGGAGTAGTTGATATACTACTTTTACCATTTGGAAAGATGCTTACTTGGTAATTTGCATTAAAAAACATTGAAACTGGTTTCAATTGTATACTTATAAAATGTATCTTACCGGTCTCTTCTCCTTCGAAAACAGAAAAGGGTGTCAGCTTTCTGTAACCTTTAAATAAGATGGAAGTTCTTCTCCATTTTGAATTTATTATTGTTTAATTCATCAAATAATGTATTATTCGTTTACATTTGAACTTAATAAAAATATACTATAATTATCGAGTGATTGCAGTTCTTTTCATCTTAATATCCAAAATTAAGAATTTCTAGTATACATAATTATTGTACAAAAACTATATAAATTCATTTTAGTGTATTTTAATTTTATTTTATGAACTTCAAAATAAAAAATGGAGAAGTTATTACAACTAAAATTGTCCATACTATCTAAAATTATTAATTGTCTACTCGTCTCTTTTATAAAAAAAAAATATTTCAAGTGAATTTCAAAAGTATTAAATAAAAAGCCTATTTCAGATTTCTAGAATTATAAGTGAATCTTTATAATTGTATATTTCAAGGGAATTTTTTTAAGATTCTTTTTTTTTTTGGTGGAAAATGAATTTTTTAAAGATTTCTTATACTAATTGGGATTACCAGTCAATTTTCCACATCGCATAAAAGATTTTATACTTAGATAATAAGTGTAATAATTGAAAAGGTCTAAGAATTGCAATTTCACATGAAAATGATTAAGAAAATCTATATTATCTTAACCAATCATTCGATATTAATCTACATGCTTCCTGTAACAAGACTTTCCTTCCTAATAATAATTAGTTTAAGTTGAGGAAAATTCTAGGGTCCCGTCGTCAGTTTTAACTGTATGGTCCCCTTTAAGTTTAATTAATTAAAAAAAATCATAAATCCTGATATACTTATCAAATGATACATGTAATCTTATCAAAATAATTAAAAAAATTATTTTAAGAAAGTTTAAGCCTTTAAAATGGTAAATATTCTCACAAATTCTCAATTAATTTTTTTGTTTTTGGATTTAAATTGCACACAAGCTAATATGTATTTGCACATTTGTTTATATAATTGATATATCTTGTATTAATTTTTTTTTTATGTTTGATAAAATAATTTTTAGAAGCTAAGAGATATATAAACGTTGCAAGTTTGAGCATGTAAAATAATTTTGTATGTTAAAAATACATATTACACATGGAACTTACAAGTACCATACTGTGCCGGAAAAAGAAAAAATACTTTCATATTTTAAAATATAATTTTGATAACTTAAACATTATTACTTGTGAACTTCTTTTTTTTTTCAAAAAAAAAAAGTAGTAGACCATAAATTTTGTATTTTTTTTCTTTTTGAGTGTTGATATTGAATTAATACATTTCACATGTCACAACGTTTGCCGCGACATTATAGCACGAGCCACAAAATTAGTGTAAGTTATAACTTTTTCAAAAATATTTTGACAATGTTACTTTGTGTAGCGCAAGATAATTTTATTATCTTTTATTCATTTTTTTAAGTACATTGTTTGGCATTGTGTATCAAAATTTTATTATCTTTGATTCATTTTTTTAATACATTATTTGCCATTGTATGTCAAAATTTTGATTAAGAAAATAATAAGACACACTTTTTGAAATCGACGTTTAATTCAATTACGTGGAAACTAGGTTCATAAAAATAAAATTCATAAATCACTTGATAAAAAAATAGACAATTACTTAAATAAATACATCGTATACATGATAACTAAGTGTTGTACAATTAGTTAAACTCATTGCATGCGTGGGAAGAAAAAAAAACATTGCACGCTTTACATATAATTAAGTATTGCACTTTTAGTTAATTAGTGTTGCTCACTTAAAACCTATGTATTGCACACTTGAAAACTAAAGGTTGCACCATTAATTAAAACGAATAGCACATTAATGTTAAAACCATTGCACAACAACGGGACCATCACGTTAAAATACATAACATGACCTTAACTTTACCCATAAGTTGATTAGATTTTTCAATGTGTTTCCAACATGGAATAGGAAATAATGCATCAATCTTCTACTTGTTACGACTAAACCAAATCTTCCATTAAATACGAATGTTTTGTTATTTAAACGAACTAATTAAGGAAAGCATTTGCATAGAAAACGTTGAGGTAAGGGTTTGTCTTTGAGGTAATATTTTGTTGCATTCAATCAGAAAAAAAATGGCGAAATATGAGACGATGGAGGATTTCGGTAGAGTAATAGTTTGCCACAACATAGCCAATGGTGTCAGACAACGTAGAGGCTGAGGCTGAGCTTGAGCCTAAGTCGAAGCCATTTATCATCTCCTATGAGGTGTTTTCTTTAAAATAGGAATAGCCGAGCTAATTTCTCTTTGCAAGCCGAGATCGTTCGTGCTTGTTGGCATTGGTTGTGGTTAGAGGCCTAGGATTATGAAGAGTTTGTCTTAACCGATTGTGAAATATTTATTACGTACATACAAATTGGGGGAATATCATAGACACAGCTAGTGAGAAAATACAGTAAAAATTCATTGCAACTAACGTATATACAATAATTAGGGATATAAACTTAATTTTAAGGAGAATGATATAATTTCTAAAGGAAGGTGTGCCAACAAAATATGGGGAGAGGTCATAGTACTTGTAGAGTTGTAGTACTAAAAGAGAAAAATACATCAGTCACTATTTTTTTTCCCTTTATGTATTTGTCATTATAAATCTCATTTTCCTCCTTATAATAATAACATTGTAGGACTATTTTATGTGAGAATTGAAAAGGTTAGTTGAGTTAAAGAAAGTAATAATAGTAATTGTTATAGTAGAGATGAACATGATACCAAGAGTTGATGATGATAAAACACCTTTGAAATGTATGCATGAAATAGTGATTTGAGCCGGTAGAGAGTTGATCTTTGAAATTGCAAACCTAAGAAAAACTATATAAAAAAAATACTCTGCATGGGTACTTCTTAAGGCTTGAGAATACAAATTAAAATTCGTATACGCGGACTAAACCTGCAATTACAATCTTGGATGACATTGTATAAGTTTGAACTCAACTATCATTGTCCTAACGATAGTTCTGATTGATAGATTCTTATATTCCATACTTTTGGAGTAATAAACTGATACTATCTCCGTTCCTTATTATAAGAGGCTTTTAACTAACTTTACACGTACCAATTTAACTACTATTTTTCAATTTTTTGTCATAAATTTAGTGTGAAATTTTCAAATTACCCTCATTCTTAATTACTATAAAGAAGAAGATCAAACATTTTTTCTCTTTTCCAATAGAGTCAAGAGTAGTTGTTGACTAATTAATGGCGTTCTTTAAGATTTACAGGAGATGTATTGGCATCAGAAAAAAAAATGTATTTACTGCTGAAGGGGTAAAATGAGGAAAAAAAATATTTAATGTTACCTTCAAAAAGTAAAACATCTTATAAAAAGGAATAGAGAAACCATATCCAAAACCTCTTATAATAAAGAATGGAAGTAGTAACATATAAGGAACAATATTTAATAGATACAAATGATATATCTAGATATCAAAAACCAAAAGGATAATCAAACTTGACATACCAGTTAACTGATCACCCCTAGTAGCTCTATCCCAATGGAGACACCAGAGATTGCCCTCATACCCAAATCTGCAGTTCCTTAAGTTCATATCAAACCTCCAATCAGAAACCAGAAGATTAAGTGCTGCAATTGAACCATACATAAGGGCAAAAGTATTTCGTTTCAAATATTTTTTCTAGTTTGTCTATCACATCTATTTTCGCCAAAAAGATTTTAGAATTGTCCAATAGAAATGTATAATTGTACATATATTTGGACCAGCAGATCTTAGAGCTTTCTAGAATTGACATAAAACTCGTAAATTCAGGTCTTATTTATTTTACTGAATTTCTCTAAAATAGCTTAGAGTATGATTATTTTTATTTACATGTATAAAGTTCTCTAGAATACTTTGGACTTATCCATAAATATAAAATATCCCATCGAACTTCATTTGAAAAACATCCTAGTTTAAGTACAAGGTCTCAAATATTCTTAAACCTCTCTTGTTCTCCTGATTTCCTAGTTTTCACGCCATTTTATATTTAGTCATTTTCAGGCTCTTTTTGATCGCTAGTTGTATGGTTCTAGTACCTAATTGTCTTTACCTTAGGAAATTTAGCCCTTGAAAATTGATTTGACACAAACTCAGTTCATTTAAACATCGAGCCAGCTTGAATTTGGTTAATTTCAAGCTAGAGTTGAGTTTTAACCGAACCCCTTGCGAGCGGCTCGATTCGTTTATAATACAACAAACAATTTGAATCGTTCTAAGTGATGTGAACCCTATCAATTCTCCCATCCAGTTAAAGACATACTTTTATTTTCTACCCTGTTTTTGTGTTAGAACACCAACTTTTGATTATTATAGACTATTAACTAAAACCATTCTTTTGCATAATCTTCAAAGCGGTTTAATACCCAGAATGCTTTAAATGTCCCGCTCCCCCAAACATAATCCTTTAAAAATGCTGATTAATATCTTGGAAACTAATGCATGTTAACAGAAAAGTCATTTACTTGGTCAAAGTTTCATTTGACATTCTAAGAAAATCCCTAAGCACAAAAGGAGATATTGAAATTTGCCATGCTTTCGAATTAATTATATGTGGATGGAATACCTCAGAATGGTTTAAAAATATCATACCTCAGTTTGAATAAGTAACGAGTATAACAAATCATAACTGATCGACACAAATACAACATTTGAAGGTTTCCATCAAAAGTATATAAGTACACTATCAACTCTACCCAAAGTTGTCATTATCAGAGATACTAGCTATCTTTTTTCCCTTGCATTGCACGGAATGTGTTACAATGCATTATTAAGTTGATTCTTATACGCAAAAAGTTTACGTTGCGACTCAAATTTTATTCTCCCTTTGGAATTCATTTGAATAAGAATGATACTAGAGCCACAAATTTGAATAAAAAGAAAAATATTTTATTTTAGATTTTTTATAATTTTACCCTTATAATTTCAATATTTTTTTATATACGATGGGGCGGCAATCAACGGTGAAAAAAGGTCATATAGGAGCGTAAATGGATTATTAAAAAATTTCTCTCAAGCAATTATTTTAGTAGAAACTAATTTTTAACTTAGTTAGTTAGAATTTTTTAAAAATCTAAATTATGTAGTATTAACTCTACTTTTTTTAGGTAGAAAATTTTTTAATTACAACGTGATATATATCTTTTTATTTTGTTTTTGATTGTTGTTTTAATAACAAAATATAATTAACTTTAATCAAAAGACATGATTTTGTTTTAGAGAAAAAATTATGAAAGCGCGACACCTCATCACTTTTTCTCTCTTTGACTTCTATTTTAATCAGGCATATATATTGATTGTTTCTACAATTTTACTCCCCCCGTTCCTAAAAAAAATAGTCCACATTGTGTTTTCAAATTTGTACTAAAACTAGTAGAAATCTCAAAACTCAATGTGGACTTTTTTTTTGGGTCAGATGTAGTAACATACAGTAAACATTCTTGATTTAACACCAGTTAGGTGCATTTAGCCTTTATTTGTCAAAAATATTTTTCTCTGATCATCCCAACAATGATATAACCAAGACATTTCAAAACAATCCCTTAGTTAGATACACTTGACTTTTATTTCTCATATATCCTTCTCAAATTATCCCTTGAACGATATAGCCGAACATGAAAGACCATTTTAGAGCAAAATTCGAGAACCCAAAAAATGGGCAAATTCTTCTATGGACCCGGTTCTGTGGAAGGAGTGGTGGATCCCCTCTTCAAAGTTAGACAATTTGAAGACCATACATGGGAATTCACTCTATTTTGATAGATTCTTTGGAGTTTTTTGTATTTTTATTTTTTTATGAGGGTTTTTTTTGCAAATTAAAAAATAAAATTGCAAGAATTTTCGAAACTTCAAAATGATTTTATCTCTTGATTTGTAAACAATTATGAAATACGTTAAATATGTAATTTATAGTACTCCGCGAGATCTATCCAACAGAACTCTATATTAAATGTTTCTTTAAATTTTATAATTACGATTTATAGTCTTAATATTTTAATGTGTCGATTTTATAACTATATTACTGGAATCAAAACATTACCACATGAAATTTAAAACTATATTACTGGAACTATATTGTTGTTTACGAAAAAAGTTATATTTCTGGAATATCACAAAATTACAATAGGAAGTTTGTAAATATGCTGCTGGAATATTAAAATATATTCATGTTTAAGATTTAAAATACTATTCAAACCGTATTTTTCTCCCCTTGACATTTAGGGTTTAGGGGGAGGGTTTAAGCACCATCCTTGAAAGTTAGAGTCTAGTTCCGGGCGAAAATCCACATTTGAATTTAAGCATTTTAATAATATTAGGGCCTCGTTTACCTAATTTAAATGCTTAAATTCAAACCGTATTTTTTTTTATCTACCGAAGTTTGGATTTATGGTTTAGGGAGGTTTAAGCACCACCCTTCATGGTTAGGTTCTAGTAGCGGACGAAAATCCACTTTTGAATTTAAGTATATTGGTTAGGTTACGAGACCCTAACCAAATTTAAATGCTTAAATTCGAACCGTATTTTTCTTCCATGGCATTTAGGGTTTAGGTTTTAAGGGGCTTTAAAGCACCATCGTTAATGGTTAGGGTCTAATGGCGGGCAAAAATCAACTTTACAAAATATTTACAGGAATTTTAGTTTTATGTTAGTGGAAATTTTAAAAAATAAGCACATGGGCCGTGAAAATATATTGCTGAAACTTTATTAAATTCTTACAAGAACTCTAGAACTTCAAAACCACATGGAGTTCCAAATTATATTGTAGGAACTTCGGTAAAAAATTTTATGAAAACTTTAAAATTGTGTCGGAGTAGTTTCAAAAAATAACCACAGAGAATTCAAAACTATATTGCTTCAAATTCCAAGAATATAATTTGGAAGACATATAGTTTTGAAGTTCTTTCGTGCTTAGTGATTGATGTTCCCTATAATATTTTGATGTTCCAATACTATAATTTCAAAATTCGTGGCTATTTTATGAAGTTTTTTCGTAATATAGTTCAAATATAGACACATTATATTTATGACTAGAGACACCAAAAATTGAAGACATTGAAATAATAATGATAAAATTTGAAAAAAAAATTAAAATAGATCTCCTTGGATAGATCTCGACAAACACTATATATTATATATATAACATGTTTTAATTTTTAATAGATTAATTTATTAAATCTTTTTAAAATTTTGGATGTTTTTTAAAATTAATTTTAAAATTAATAAAACTTCTCACACAATCCACAGAAATTAAGTGGGCTACTATTTTTTACCCCCTAAATCCTAGGTATTACCTTTTTTAGACAAATTTACCACTATCGTAATTTGAAACTCACAATATCGAGAATCTTTCACCTCTCCAAACTATCCCAAACTCCAAAATAAAAAAATAACATCTCTTGAATTTGGAGGCTGCAACAATGGCGGACCAGAGAAAGATTTCTCACTTTTTTATTTTTTTAATTTAAAATTAAAAAAAAAACGGAAAAAAAAAAGCGACAGGAGTAGCGCAGCCCAAAAATGATGGAAAAGTTGCAGAAAAATGGTAGTGTCGGCGTCCAAAAAAGCTCCCCCTCCGGTCGTTAGGTGTTTGGATTCTAGCCGAAGAAACGGCCGCATAAGACGCGTATAGATATGGAAAGACGAACCAGTTATTTGCCGCCACCTTTTGGAGGGGCGTCTGGGCTGGACGTCACCTCTACCAGTCGGGCCCTGGACCTGGGCAGAACTTTTTTTTTTTAATGATAAATTTTTAATCAAAAAAAATTAAAATAGTGAGAAATGTTACTTTATTTGCCCATGAATCCTGTCTCCATCAAAACCCATTCGATTGTACCCTCTGGATTAAAGAAATATTTTTATGTTTTGTTTGAAGTTTGAGAGAATTTAGAGATATAGAAGAAAAGGGTTTGTGTACTTTAATTATAGAAAGGACAATACCTAAAATTTAGAAGGGCCACAAATAATATCATCCATTATAAAAAGACCTAAAAGCGAGGGTTATCCAAACATAGATTTGCGGGGAAGGAAATCTCTAGAACCAGCGAAAAAGGTTAAAAAGCAGCAAAAGCTCTGTGGAATTGAAAGCAAAGACGATGGCTTTGCAAGTCAGTTTGCCTGATCAATTGGCTTTTGGCGCTTCCACCACCAGAAGTTCCCAGATTAACTACATCCCCGACGATTACCACCGTAATGATGGTGTTAATCATCGCATGAACGGTTATGCTTATCGCGGGGATCTGTATCCAGAATGGGGAAAGCCGAAGTTGGGGAAGGATGAGTTTCTGTCTACAACCGGAGGATCCGTCGCCAGTGGAGCTGAGAAGTGGAGTGATGCATGCCCTCGGCCTACAAAGGGCACCACAAGTTTGGCTTTTAGATACAAAGGAGGGGCTCTTGTAGCTGTTGGCCATCCACCAGACGTTAGCACAACAATATGCTACGGGTGCTTTGGATTTCACGTTTGATTACAATGCGTCCTACGATGAAGCCTTGGCAGTGGCCAATCGCGTTATGTGCTGTTCTTTAGTAACATGTAGGGGGTTTGTTGATTCCTCCACTGTTTACAATGTAGGACCTAATGGGTATGAGAAGGTTTCTGAAAACGTAGTAGCGGAGTACTTCCCAGAGATCCTCAATGAGTAGCAGCAGAATGCTTGGATTGATGCTGTAGCGTTAAGCTGAGGGGGATCTGTTTTGTTTGTTGTTGCGAAGTGGTGCGGTGTATAATTTGATCTCAAGTATTGTAGTAGACCATGGCTAAGTAGAGATCACTTTTGTAATGTCACTTTTCCCATGCTTGTGACTCTTAAAGAAGACTTGATGTGATCTGGATTTATATGTTGTTGTGAAGTGGCACAGTTTATACTGTGCTCTTAAAGTATTGTAGTTGACCATTATTGAGTGGAGATTTTTTTTAAAAAATAAAAAATAAAAAACTACAAACTTTTTTTTTAGATCCCCAACATGGTTCATGGAAAATGCAAAATGCACTGAAAAAAGATAGTTACTAGCCTTTTGTAACCTAAATTACAAGTGCACAACCGTCAACTACTTTGAACAAAAGAGCATTTCCTTTTATATTAGTCAGTGTATATTAAGCTAACAAAATCAACCTGGAAAAAACTGATATTCTCTTCGTTAAAACTTGAAATGATTGTCCAGTTTGTATTTCTTTTTAGTTCAAATTATAGTAAAAGTGAAATCCCAAATTAGACAATAATTCTAGGACGAAAGGAGTACTATATACTATAAGTATTGATTATTAATTAGGACATGCATCCAATGCTTCACAATATCCAGTTTCTACTCCAAGTACTCTTAATCTCACCTGATTATTCTACTTATCTTTTAAATCACAAATAAGGGGAAAAAAAGTTCAAAAAGATACTCTAAATTAGGCGCGTCAAAATTTGGTGCGGAAAAAAATTGGTTTTCTATTTTCTGATTTCTACTATGATAATAATTATTATTGTGAAAATTTATTTTCTTCTTACAATTTATTTAAAATTTAAATTTTTATTCTCATACTTATGCAAAAAAGAAACACATTAATCGTCAAGTAATATCTATTCTAAATTTCCAATGCGTATTTGAAACATGTTTAAAGTAATACAAAATTTTTTTAATGAATTATTGTTTTCCATTAGAAATGTGATTCCGTTTCAAGTAATGTTTATTTCAATACGTATTTGAAACATATCAAAGGTAATACAAGATTTCTTTAAAATGAATGATTGTTTTCCATTGATTCTGTTCCCTGATTCCCTTTTTAGCCAAAACTTCTTCCTTTGTTATTATTCTTATTTCCAGCGAAAGTCAAGCATTCAAATAAAGATAGATATCCGTTAATGACTACTTCAAAACTGCTTTGTCCAATAGTTCCAACAACATGTAGGCGTTGAATCCACGAGAAACAACGAGGATTCGGGACAAGCTAGGATAATCGTAGAACTTTGGTGCTAGAAGTTATAAAACCAAGATGGAGATGATAATACGTCAAAATTGAATATGTTGCATGCAATGCCCCAATTCATATTGTATCCAAGGAATATCCAATAAGCTAAATATTGTCGTCGGTCTCTATTACGAGCTATTTTAATTTTTCTAAATTTCACTTATTGTATTTTTTTCATTGAAAATGAAACTAAAAAATGATTCATAATAATTGGGAGAACACATTTAATAAAAAAGTACATTGCCATGATGCCATCCAATTCCTAAGAAACTACCCGATCAGTATGTCTCAAGTCTTCCATTGCAGCTTCTCCGACATTACCACCTTTCACCAGCGCTCCTACAAGCTCAGTAGTTGTTTTAACACAAAACAAAAACAAGAAAAACAGATAAACACTCAAAGCGAAATACATATAATCATAGTTTGCAAACTCACGATCTTGGATTGTAGGATTGTCCGATCTTACGATTCCAGGTACTTAAATCGATCCTGGATCGATCAAACTCGAATTTTACAATAGATCAGAGTGGGATCGGTTAAGATCGATCAGAATCGTACAGGATCGGTCAGGATCGTAAGATCGGCCCGAGTTTACTATTCATCAATTATAAAAAATTAATTGAGCTTATTGAGATTTTTTTTCTCTTATTTTTTTGGTTCACATTCAATTGAGGCTAATATTTTCTGAGGAAACTTTTATTGCTAAAAAAAATGTATAATAAAATGAAAAGAAGAACTGCAAGAGAAGAGTTTTTATTAAGAGGTTATGAAAAATTCATATAAAAAAATTGAATTTATACATTTTTTTGTTTAAATGTCAAATACTTTATCTAAATATATTTGTAACTAGATTATCAAAGTAATTAATTATATAACATGTACAATTAATTTTAAGATCCTACTATTTCAATCCTACGATCTGATCTTATGATCCCATTTTGATTCTACGTAAAATCACGATCCTGCAAACATTGCTTATAATGAAGTCCACTAGGCAACCCAAGGAGTAAAATCGAACTCTAAATAGAAGAAGAGAAAAATGAAAATTAAAAACCACCTAAGTTTCTGTTACCTTTGTTAAGCTCAACTCCATGATTATTGAGCAGCGGGGTAGAAGTGGTGATTCTCTTTTTCTTAGCGCATACATCATCATCATCATCATCATACTAACAAATAGGACCAGAAAAAAAAAAACCAAATAAACCCTCTTGAAAAACTAATAATTAAGCTGCGGGGCTAGCTGAAAAGAGACAAATCCGAAGAACAAAGTAGCGGAATAATTAATTATACCTTCCTTGCGGAACGCGATGGTGGAGGAGTTTTCTTCTCCTTGTCGTCGTGGGAATTATTAACTGGAGGCTCCTCCTCCTCCTCCACCATCTGGGCTACCGAAGAAGAAGTAGTGATCCCCTGTTCTTGTTCTTCCTCATCCGACAGACAGGACATATCCAGATCGAAATCGAGATCGCGAAATTCATCTTCATACTTCATACGGGCTAAAGAAGAAGAAGAAGAAGAAGAAGTTGCGATTTCCTTTTGACCTCCTTTCTTAACAAACAAATAGGAAAGATCCAGAAATCCATCATCATAGATATGGGGGCCATGTAGAACAGGGTCATACACATCCGGGTCGGTTGGGATTTCATCCCATACTGGCGCCCCAAAAAGGTAGCGTACGTTTCGATAATAAAGCATATCTGCCCAACTGAGTTTTTTATCAGAACTCATGGTAATTCCTCTCTAGCAACAGAAGGGAAGAAGAAGGAGGGTCGGGTGGATTGCTTTATACATCCGGCGAAATTTTTAGGGTCATTAGGTTTTTTTAATCGAAGGGTTTATTGCAATATACTCCCTAAGGTTCGTTCTTTGTAACGGATAATCACTCAGCTTTAAGTGAACAAAAAATTGTGAATCGATACGGACCAAAAGTCTTGCCAAATTATGTACGAAAGACTAAACCCCCCTCGACTTTTCTTTAAAGGACAAAAGGATTCCAAAATTATGTTCAAATTATGGGTGGGGTGGATAGGAGATTAAATTGAGGGGTGATTATTATCAAAAGGTTGAGGGTTCGATTCTCGCCGGGACATCCAATTTTTTTTTTTTAAAAAAAGAGCTTAACCAATAGCGACTGATTTGTGCCGAAAAATGAGTAAAATGTCAATAGTATTTTTAATATTATTATTATTTTGGAAAATGACAAAGGCTCCCAACTATGCACAAACACCACCCCCCCTTAAAATTTTTAAAGGATCATAAGCTATTGACAATGATTTAATTATAATTATGTTATTGCTCTATTTTGTTTTAACTCACAAATCCGGAATACCTTTTTATTCGAGAATAACTCTCCGTAATTTATGCAACTCATAGTGAAACTCGAAATATTATAACTCTCCCGTTTAAATATATATTTTATGGATATGTGAACAGTCACAAACACTGAAAATGATTATGTGATCCCTCGATCACTAAAGGGATATGACAAACACATTATTTCTCATATTATCCCAACAATGATATGTAACCAAGATATTCCACAACAACCTCCTAAGCTAGATGCACTTGACATTATTATTATTATTATTATTATTTTTGGATTCAAAAGGGGGGATAATTATAATTGCTATACTGTTACATTTCTCGAGTGTGCCACCCGATAATGTCATGGAATAACTAATTTATAACTCCTGCTGGTGGGAAATCCATACTATTAAGGCCAAGAGGATTTGACACCGCCAAGGCAGCCATATAGTCGGCCGCAAAATTTTTCTCACGATACACGTGATAATTTCACTTCCCAATTTCTATTCACCAGGTCTTTAATAGCTCTAAAAATTCCCAGGTGCTCTCTCGAAGTAATTGACTTTATTTCTCATATATACTTCTCAGATTATCCCAAAAATACTATAGTCAAACACACTGGCGGATCTAGGGTGAGGGTTATAAGGGCCTTGTCTCCCACTGGGCCCACCCTAACCTTTATATTATACCTATTCATTTAAGTTTATTATTTTTATATATATAATAACAAAATTAATAATTGATGTTTTATCTAGTTTTCACTTCCTTAATTTATACTAGGTGCTATATTATTAAAAAAAAAATCAAATAGTGTTATAAATTTTTGTGAATTATAACTATACTCATGATGCTTAAAGTCATGTAATTAAATGGTCAAATATATTTAAATATTTTAATTGAACTAATTGCCTTGTTCCATACTTCAGAAGCTCTCAGTATGTTCAAAATATTCATTTTTTTTTTCTTTTGTACATGTACATACGTATAAGTGTTTTGTTAAAATTTTTTTGATAAAAGGTTATGATTTGTCTATTGATGTAGTAATTAACTATAGAAAGAGTTTTTTTTTTAAAAAAAAAAAACTTTGAACATGATAATATATATATTTGAATATCATTAACTTAACTCGTGAATGGTATGTGGTTTAAATTTTATGTTTAAAAATAATATTATGGGACGCACTATAAATATGAAAGCGGTCCGAAAATTTAATCAAAATAAGAAAATTCTCTGTAATCAACAATAATACAACGATTTTAAGAAATTTTTACTGCTAATGTATTTATGATCTCCAGTAATAATTTGTTCTAGATACGCTACTGGCCAAACATGAAGGAACATTTTAGAGCAAGATTCGAGACCAAAAAAAGATATATAATCATTAACTTTACTTTGAACAAAAGGAGCATTTCCTTTTATTAAATTTCTACATCATTAATCAATGTATATTAAGCTAACAAAATCAAGCAGGAAAAAACTGATACAGTATACAGTAAAATCTCCCTAAATTAATCCTTTATTAATTAATAACCTCCATTAAATAATATTTTTTTCCGATTTCAACTCGGGACCAATACAAAAAATGAAAAAACTTGATTAATTTATAAGATAATAATTTTTCAAGAATCTCTTATGTAAATACAGATCTCCACAATTTCATAAATTAATAAATAGCAAAAATAATAAATTGATGGAATAACTATGTTTAAATTTTTAAAGGATCATCGTAATCCTATTGTCAAAACTTTAGTAATAATTATGTTATTACTGTTTTGTTTTAACCCCAAATCAGGCCAAATCGGGAAATCCTTACCACAAATCTCCATAATTTATGCAATTGATATTAGAAACTCGGAGCATTATAAATCACCAGTTTAAATTTATGAATTTCATGATACATATGTTATGGATACATCCAGTAAAATTAACAAATTCTAAAGGGAAATATATCCGGCCGGCGGTCAACAAAATCAAAAGGGAAATATATCAGACAAAATTCCAAGGTCATTAGGTTTTTCATTGAAGGTTTAGCTGCTCACTGTTTGGAAATATAACCAGTACCCTTGACCTAAAATTCTCCTTAGTTACTGTTGCCGATAATAATAACATAAAAATATGTAGAAGAAAAGGAAAAAAAATTAAAAATTTTCTACACCATCCAAACAACAATATATTTATCAACACAACACAATACTATAAATCATATGGTGGAATCAGCTATTTTGTGTATGATGATCATATTTATCTGTTCTGATTATTCTCTTACTTTTAAGGCACTTTATTTTTGGGGTAAATTTATTATAATTTGTATTAATCAAAGCACCGCCCGGACTATTTCTGTTCTCTCCAAAGAAGAAAAAAGAGAGTTATATATCATGAACTAGAACATCAGAGCATATTCTTCTTTCTTTTTTTTTTTTTTTTGATGCGAAGAAAGAAGCCAAAGCCTTACAAGAAATCAAATTAAAATATTCGATTATTGGTATATCACACGTCAGATGTTTTGGAGTCAGAACATCCGCTAAGTTAAATTAAAAAATAGGGTAGGTCTTTTTTGAAAGAGAAGGTTCTTGAAAACCAACTTCTGTAATCTTTGTTGCATATGGGTTGTAGTTAAAATGATCCCTCCATCGCCTTTTTTCTTTTGAATAATTAAGGAGCTTATTGGTAATTTGCATCAAATTAAAAACTGAAAACGGTTTAAAATAGACATCTTTGAAATGTTTTGGTAGTCTTTTGAAACAACAAAAAATTAGGTTAGAACATGTCAAATTAATAGAAAGGATAGGACATTAAAATATTTTTTATGAAAGGCAGTAACTAATTTGTTAAAAATCACAAAAAAATACTTTAAATTGATATTGCCGTTTTTTCCTTCAAAAAAGAGAAAACAATGCTTGCTTTCTGTAAAAATGTTAGTATATGACATAGAATATCTTTTGGCCGTTTGAATATATATTTTTAAAGTTATCAAGTAAAAGAAAAAAGATCAGTTTACGATTGAAATTGAATAAAATATAAATCGAGGGATCACAAATTCTTCTCATCGTAGCATCCAAAATTACTGTCCAAATTAGTACCCATTCAAACCGTTTGCCACATGAATAGATTTATATCAATATTTTAATCATCATTACTGGTCTAGGTTTTAACACTGCTAAACCTAACTCAAATACTTTCACAACCAAGTGGAATTTGCAATCTTTCAATGAAATAATATGAATTAGTATTGCTCTAGGACTCATGGTTATCTATACAAAGAGAATTGACTGAAAACATAGCTACATACATAGATTTAACACCCGCATAGAGCCTCATTACTAGATGGCTCGGTGCTCAAATTAAGCTATTTCCCCAGCTAACTAATTCGGATAATATATAGTTCTCTTTCGGAAGACAAAACGCTCCATCTTTACTGTGCACCAATTACTGAATACTATTATATATATAGATATAATAAGTTAATTCGTTTAATTAGACTTCAATTAAACGAAATTAACTCATTAAAAAGTGGAGGCATCTCTAGAGGTCGTCCAAGCAGCCTTATGGATCGCTCATTCCATTTTTCATAATGCATACTATAGAAGACCTCTTCTGGGCTCTCCAAATACGGAGTTTCACGAAGTTCAAACTTCATCGCTGTAGGAAGCGTTTTCTCTGGCGGTGTTGTTGGCTGTTGTTCTTGTTCCGGTGGCGGCATCAGCGGCAGCTCCTCATTATTATCTTCTTCTTTTAAAGATGGGTTTGGTTGTTTGACAATAAATTTTGATAAATTCTGACGTGCATCAGGATCACCCATGAATATGGCTCGCTCAACCCATTTTTCAAAAAACATCTCGTATTGGACCGTGGAGAGCTCCGGCTCCGGTTCCGGTTCGGCGTTACCCGGCATCGTTGGCTGTTTTGTTGGCAAATTACGACCGCTGCCGAGTTTCTCCATCGTCTCGTACTTGTCCATTCTTTTTCCTGACTGAATGCAACCAAAAAAAAAGAAAACCTGAAAGATAAACCCTAACTTTCAACGTTGTTGATGCAAAAACTTTCCTTAATTATTTCGTTTGAATAGCAAAGGTTTGGGTTGTATTTATAGGACGAGTTAGTAGTAGTATAAAACCCAGTAGGATTTGTAAATTGGTGTATTAATTCCTAATCCATATTGAACACTTACTGAAAAACGTAATCAACCTAAATTAATTATTTTTAGGAAGGACGGTCTCTTGTTACGCGGGAGAGCATGTATAGATTATCGAATGGGTTAATTATTGTCATGGGCAGTTGTAAACTTGTAATTCTCTTACGACCTGTATTCAATTATTATCTAAGTCTAAGGATGAAGTCTTTATGTGAATTGGAATTGAGTCTGGTAATCCAAATAAGTAATGTAAAAATCTCAACCAAAATAATAATAATAATAAAATTGATTGATCACAAAAAATTGAAGTTTGAAAGAATTTTTATTTATTTATTTTGTACAAAGAAAGGAAGCTCGTGTTATGGATGAATAATTTATATTATGAGGTACGAGACTCCTAGAATGTCATGTTCAAACTAATATTTTAACTCCTGATGGCGTAGCTGCAAGCCATTGAAATAATTTATTTATTTATTTTTATTACAAAATGAGTAGACAATTGTTTTGGTTAGTTAATTTTGTTAAATTGTGTGGATGATTTTTTTTTATTATCATCATTATTTTTATTATTCTTTTTTCCCCCTTCATTTGTGATTTTGAAGGTCATAGCAAAAAGAATCAAACAATTAAAAGTCTACGTACGCATTCTAAATTTCAATACTCAAATGAAAAGAACTGCCTGAAATTTTATTCAAGGTCAAACGTAAAATGAAAATATCCTATTATTTGATAAATTAAACAATAAATTTAAAAGGCAGAAGAACTATCATCTTATAACAAAAAAATGTAAAGGTAAGTACTGTTTTCGCAGTCAGTGATCACTCGCATAACTAAAACAGAATTTAAACAGATTTCCCGTTGTTCCTTGTGTTGACAACGATAACATTCATTTTTTTTATTATTATTATTTTTTTTTTGTTTCGAAAGGCTACAATAACATTTCATAGGTACTACTAAGATTTCCCATATGTTGATAAAATACCAATAAGGATGCATGCACCATATTCAAGCGAAAAAAGGACTGAATGAACTTTACTATTCATATTTTGAAGCATGCATTTCCACTTTTCAAAATCTTACTCGATACCGATACATTTCTTATTTAATTCACATAAGTTCAATCATAAACTCTTTATGAGTTTTTTTAGGTGTTTGTTTCTCCCAATACAAGTGTTCCTTTGCTTGTTGTTTCTATATAGTTTTCTCCTAACTCTATCTTCTGCTTAGTAGGGGAATAGGGACAAACAACAATGCTTGTTTCATATAGATTTAAATCACGCAAAAATGATTAATTAATTACGTTTAGAGGACGTAAGTACATTGCAAGTGTTAACATCTAGAAAAGGAGATGTTAATTACGTTCTAGTATAAAAATCAAAACCGACGTGGACATATTATTTTTTTTTTTAGACAGAGCAAGTATTATAAGAGAGTACACCTGAATTGATATACAAGAATAATTTGAAAGTTGAAGAGGCTAATTAAACAATTTAAAAAGTTTGGGGGGGTGTATGAACAATTAAACCCAAGAATTAATATTGTCACATCACTCCCAACATTTGAGTAGTTCCTGTAAACCCTACCAATGGGGAGATTCTCCTAAGAATCCAAACGCAGGCAGAACTTTTCTGCGGGATTCTTTGTTGGGAACCCAATCATTGTCCTTAAAAGAGGGCGCTTTACAGATTCTTCAATTAGAGAGTTCTGATTTTTTTATATATTTTTTTAATCTCAAATATGGCCATTTCTTCAAGCTTCACATTACAACAGCACTGCTGTTTGCCAAAGGAATTTGTTTCGGCCGACCAATCCACAAACCACCTCGTTTTTTCTCAATCCAAGGTTCTGGGTTTTTCCCAAAAGCCCAAATTTTCTAACCATTCAATCAGACAGGGGATCAGTTTTAGGAGAAATAGAAATGATTCTCGACTGTTGTTTGAGTTAAAATGCAGTAAACAAAATGACGCACATCCGGTTTCAGAGGAACCCTTAATCGATCATGGAAATGGAAATGGAGATGATGGTGGTGACGGGGCCTCATCGGGCGGCGGAGGCGGCAGCAATGGTGATGGTGATGGCGGTGGGGAAGGTGGTGGTGATTATGAGGAAAAAGAATTTGGGCCCATAATGAAATTCGAAGATGTAATGAGGGAGGCAGAGAAACGGGGAGCCGTTCTTCCTTCGGATATACTGGAAGCTGCTAAGACTACCGGGATTAGAAGTTTACTTCTCAGTCGTTATTTGGAGTTAGAGGTTGAAAATGCTGTTTCTCTTCTGAAAAGATTTAATCGTTTGCATTTAGTTGGTCGATTTCATGATTTTCCTTTTTATTGAATTGTTGATTGACTTATTGAAATCCCGGGTTTTTTTTTTTTTTTTTGGTTGGATTTGTTATTGCAGGGATCGGGTGGCTTATTAGGATTTTTGATGCGTCACTGCTCTATGCTTAGGAATCGAATGCTTGCTGATCCATCTTTCCTGTTTAAAGTTGCAACAGAGGTAGGAGGTTCTTAACTTCATTGCATATTCTTTACTTGGAATTGGACACTGAAATTCTGGATTCTTCTTTATGTTTGCCAGAACAATCTTTTTAATTAGTTCTAATAGCTGTGTTTTTCTAATGTATAGCATGCTTCGCGTTTCTAGATTGATTGTTCATTTTGGACAATGCTCCACTTTTGAACATCATGTGCCCCCATAACATCAAGTATAATACAACATCTACTCTAACTAAGATCTAAACCAGCTTTTTCGGGTAATACACAAGTCAAAAATTGTTTTGCCCCTGTGCATTTTCCTGGCTCACATGCATGGAAATACATCCACAATTTGAAGTGTAAGGTTTTCCTGATGCACACTTCTAAATTTGGCAAGGTTGATTGTAGGTAGTCATTGATACTTGTTGTGCAACATTTGCGGAAGTTCAGAAGAGGGGTAAGGATTTTTGGGCAGAGTTCGAGCTGTATGCTGCAGATATTTTAGTTGGGGTGGTAGTTGATGTTGCTTTAGTTGGAATGTTGGCACCTTATGCTCGCATTGGGAAGCAGTCTGGTTCTGCTGGATTCCTAGGGCGCCTACAACATGCCTCTTCTTCTTTACCTAGCAGGTAAATCTATTATAAGATCTTCACACCTCCACAAGACGTGATCAGATTTCTTGTCTCATCGAGTAGGCCTTTTCATAATTTTTTTTTTTTTATAGAAACCTGTGTTCTATTTGTTTCTTCTTATTATGTTTGACCATGGGAGGCAATTATGCATATATTTAGAGGAGGTGGCTGTTGATGTAAATTTGCATCTGATAGATAGGAAACAGATTTCACAACTCAAAGATAGATACTTTGATATGCAAAGCTCAAAGATTTTGATTGTTTGGTATAGGGCCAACTTTTTGCAGGCCCTGGATTTATATGAACCTGCATAACTATGGTGTTAGTTCCTTGCTATTGTCATTCATGATTTAGGTCTATTGATTGTGAATTTTCTGTTGACAGCGTATTTGAAGCTGAGAGGCCAGGATGCAGATTTTCATTGCAGCAACGGATAGCTACGTACTTTTACAAGGTAAATCACGTGACAGGGTATATAACTATGTAGTTAATATCATCATGTCCTGCGAGCAATTAGACAGTTGGCTCCCTGTTTTTCATGTTATTCTTATGTCAAACTTTCTCTTGTGTTCACACTGAGGTGTCCTTCACCTTGCAGTTGATCATAGTTTCAATGTGACGTGGATACGATCTTTCCTGCTTCCCATGTTCAAGTTTATTTTCCATTCTTCTTTGTTTGGGCACAATCTTTATATTGACTACATAATTCCAATGTGGAAACCAGGGTGTATTATATGGTGCAGTTGGATTTACTTGCGGGATTATTGGTCAAGGAATAGCAAACATGATCATGACTGCTAAAAGGTATAGTAGTGTAATTGCAAAACTATTGCTAGTGCTTGTAATCGTCCTACTAGACATATAACCTCTGCCATCATTTTGGGCTTCCCCACAAGGCTGCAAGGCTCGTAATGGGAGCCTGGAGTACGGAATTTCATTTCACATTCTCAATTGTTTTGTGCCTGATTTGCTACTTTTTACTGAGAGATGTGATTCCCAAATATAAGGGAAGTGATGCTGGAGATGAATTATGTTAGTCAGTATTTCTTAGCCTGGACAACACATATAAATGAAGAGGAACTTGGGGTTGAGGGCATAATGAAATAATTACATAATCATTCTAATTAGCAGTCAAGAAGGGTAGACAGTGAACCTTTGAATATATCACTCACGAACGAAGTTATAATTTTCTTTCACTCTCCTGGAATATAATTCAAATTACTTACCACTGGCTTCAGAATTACCTTCAAGTTGCACACTTCCAGAATTTTTTCACAGATGATGTTGTGATATGACTTTTCTGATTATTTTATTCATTTGTTGGTTATTGTCTACTAAGATCAGCAGACTTTGACATTTCTTTTTCTCTTTTCTGTAAAAAGCCGAAGAATCATGTAGTATTTTTCTTATGTTGCAGGAGCATCAAGAAATCGGAAGAGGATATACCTGTTCCACCTTTAATCAAAAGTGCTGCACTTTGGGGTATGTCAACTGCCCTTACTTTAGTACCTGTCGTGTCTTACTTCCACATCTGACTGTTTAATTTGGTCGTTTTTGCTGGCAAATGAATTTCCTCTTGCTTTCATATTCAAGTGTCTTGTATACAATTAAGAAGCACCAGCAGCTTGAGTATTTAGTCTGTCCCACCTCTTTTGATCTTCTTGTTTGTTGTCCTTGTCTATTTTTCTTTCTTGCTTGATGAAATTATTGCTAGTTCAACTTGTGGGTTTTAAAGGTAAATATAGACTCCACATGTTTCGGCGTGTCTTTCGTGATGAGGTTAATATCTTTTTAGTAGTTTCAGGTATAGACTAAGCTTTGAGCTCAATCTCATAAGTATAAGATCGCTTCAGTGAGATCATAGATTGATCTTCTAGAGATTTTTGAGAGGGTGCTCCGAAGTTTCTTGTTCTGCCTGAAATAACCGATTTTTCTCTTCCAATCACATTTGCAATCATGTCTAGTGCGTTGCTGCTTCTGTTTTATTTGTCGGGTTCGTGTTGTGAAATGACATCGGAACAAATGGCAGTTTTTTCTACTTCCCTTGTCTGGCTTTACCATGGTGCTTCTTCAAGTTGTGTCAGTGATAATTATTGAGTTCTACATATCTCACTACCTGAAGTGGGCACTTTTGTTTGAGATTCACCTACCAAGAAGTTACTCTTTTCCCTTTCGAACAGGTGTTTTCCTTGCTGTCTCCTCAAATACTCGGTACCAGATAATCAATGGACTGGAACAGTTGGTTGAAGCATCTCCATTGGCGAAGCAGGTTCGACCGGTTTCTATGGCATTTACAGTTGGTATAAGATTTGCCAACAACATATACGGCGGAATGCAGTTTGTTGACTGGGCAAAATTGAGTGGGGTGCAATAATACCATTATCCATCGAGCTTTTCCCAAATTTAGTTTCAGGATTAGTATTAGATTCCAGGAAGATTTTGGTTCATGGCTTCTTTGCGCTTTTGGTGTTTTTAGTTTATTCTCATCAACATGCTTTGTGAAGAAATTTGTACTAATTTGTTCCACAAAAATAGCCATGTTTTATTCTTTTGAGGGATAGTAATGAAATGTATGAATCAGAAGATGAAAGTCTATATGGACCAGAGTTAGCCTTGAAAAGATGGAGTAAGCGTGTTCAGTTACGCCTAGTATTTTTGACTTCACTCTTGATTTTGTTTTGAAATGTAAGATAACTGCTTCTAGACGTTAGAAACATATACAATGCGTTATTAAGATACGATATCTGTTTACTGTATGGTAGAATTACGAGTCAAAAAACACAAAATATAATAAAAACACAATTCAATAGATTTCATTTATAATTTGAAGTGGTGTGGAAAATCAACTAAAGAGTAAGGAAACATAGTGAGTGCTAAGGGTTTAGTTATCCTTTAGTGCTGCTGATTTTTTAAAGTTGAATTTTTTGAAAAAAAAAAATAAAAACTAAAGAGTAAGGAAACATAGTGAGTAACACCAAAGCATTTAACTTGGTGTATAAATGAGAACTAATTTTTATAGTTCCTCCGTCTCTAAAGAAAAATTAAAATAAAATTTACTATTTGATAAACGAGACTTTTATTTTAGGACGAAAGGAGTATTGAATAATCTTCACCAAAAAATTTTTCAAGGTGTTATTTTGGTTCATTTTCATTTGCAAAATTTGTTGAAATTTTGTGGCTTTATGCACAGAAAATTTCCACCCTTATAGTCTACATTGACTTAATTTTGACTAATCAATCCCACACCTAACACCACTAATTTTTTCCTACTACGATCGATAATTATCTATTTACCTCCATCCACATTTATTTCATAATTTTACTCGTTCCAGCTTCTAAAATTGGGCCGGTTTCAGGCAACTTGATTTGGTCTTCAGGCGGTGGCCAGTTGAGAACTGAACCTGACCTGTGTATAGAGAACTTACGTAAAATCATTGACGACATCAAATTTAGAAGGTTTGACTATGCTGAATTCCCATGCAATATAAATTAGATCTCAGTCACTAATGATGTCGTAAAGTTTGTTTATCCTTCACAGGTTACAAATGTTACACTAATTCTTGTATGGACAACGTTTTTATTTTAGATTTGAAATGTATTTTGAGTAAAAATTTAAAAAAACTGTTTGGATAATTTTTATAATAAAATAATAATTTTTACCTACATCACCGAATCACTTCCATCACTATCGGACGATCACCTACTGTCGCCGGCCAGTCGAATTTCCACTTGTCGGAATTTGGCCGGAATCTGGCTATCCGGTCGCCGATAGGTGGTCGTCTGATAGTGGTGGTGGTCCGGTGGTAGTTTTTAAAAATAATAAAAATTATTGGCAAAATAAGTTTTAAAAAATAAATGAAGATTTTGTATAGATGGGGGTTTTTTTTTTTGAAACGAAAAAACTTCTTTTATTAGAAATTAGACTGATACAGCATATGCCAACCGATGTGCAGACGTTACACTTTCTCTACAGACTTTTAAAATTTTACAGCTTTAAAATTGCTTAGTTAAATGTAATACATCATCAACCAGACCTCCATACCAAGGTGGAACCAAATCTATCCCCCCGGAGTACTCGGATAGTCTTAATGCTATCCGTTATAACTTGGATCTTCCACCATCCACGTTGTAATGCCATCCTCAGAGCTTCCCACAGCGCCACCATCTCAGCCTGCAGTGGTTCCAGAGCCTGACACAGCTTCGCTAGTTCTCTGATAACCATCCCTCGCTAGTCCCTCGCAACAACAGCACAACTTGCTTTTTTCGTCTAGCTCTTAAAGGAGCCATCCACTTCTATCGTAATCGTGGCCTCTCCCTCCTAGCTTTCTGGATCCTCCTCAGCTCCCCCCTTTACCAAACAGTCTTACACTTTTCCTCTGTTCGTGGATCATTACTCCTAATGGTAAGTCCTTGTGATCCATTACTCCATTTCCGTGCATGTTGCGTGGTTTGAATTATTTCATATACTTCTGCCAATATTTGGCCCGGATCCCAATCCTCGTCATCCCATATCTTCCGATTTCTTGCTCTCCATAAGGCTCATATTATGCAGGCAACGAGATTCCTATCTTCCTCCGTCGGTGCGCATTCTATCCAGTTTCCAAACCAGTCACTGAAGCTGCATCTCTGTCCTGTTGTGAAATCAAAGCCAAAGGGAGAGATTCTCCACACTACCTAAGAGTATATACATTCCAATAGCATATGCTCAACTGTTTCGTCCGATTCCCTGCATCTGGGACAGGTTGGGGGAACCAATTGGCCCCGTTTCCACAATGTCCTCGCTATCGGACACGACATTCACCACTATCCTCCACAAGAAGAATATAATCTTCTGTGGTAGTTTCAAACCCCACACTCTCTTCCAAAACTTTCCATCCCCCTGCATTGCCTGTGCCCCCGATCCGAGGTCTGTGCATCATTCACATCCTCTCTATTCATGGCCAAATGGTATGCCGATTTGACCGTATACTGACATGAAGATTCCCTTCCCCAGTAAGGGGTATCCCTGTACCCACCGCCGCTCCTACTTATGTGGATAGCCAATATGTTGGGGACTACTTCTTTCGGGAATAGAGCCAGAATTAATTGTAATTTCCACTTTTCGTCTTCATGAAGCAGGTCCGCCACCCTAAGTTGTTCCTCCCATCTTTGTGTCTCCCTCCTCGCCAGAGGATTTTCCACTTCGGAAATCCACTCTCGCCTCAACGGAATAGACCTCCCATCCTTCACCTGCCACCTAACTTTTCCCTGAATCAGATCCCTAGCCCATAATATACCCCGCCATCCCCAGGATGCCGCTTGTGATGGATTTTCCCCATTTTCAATCTTCCAAGCGAGCTTCCTCAACAAAGCACGATTCATTTTCTTCGTTTTCCGCATTCCCAAACCCCCTCTCCATTTTGATCGGCATATGTCCTTTCATGCTTTCAAATGAATACCTCTACCCCCTACATCACCCAGATGAATCTGGCCAGATACTGGTCGATCTTCCTTGCTGTACCTGCCGGAATTCGGAATGCTCCCAATGTATAATTTGCCATAGACCCCAAGACATGCTTTGCTAAAGTGACTCGCCCCGTAGTAGAAAGATCCTCGACCCTCCATCCCTTAATCTTAGGTGGTGCCTGGTTCAGCTTAGGATGATAGTTCGGAATGAGATTCATAGACTCTGAAGTGAAATTTATAGAATAGGAATTATAATTGGAATCAAAACTTCATTTTCAGGTGTTTGGTTTACATATATCTAACATTAGAACTAAAGTGAATTTTCAATTTTATCCTTCTCCTATGAACCCTATCTCACAACCATCACCGTTTCCTCCTTACTGCCCACCGCCGCCGCTTCCTCTGTTTCCCCTGCCACCCAAACAACTGGGGAAAAGAAAACTAACTTAAATCCAGAAGAACCAACGGACACCAAAATTAGAACACAAATAAAGAACAAATATCAAAGAATCTGCATCCTAAACTCAATTTTTATTCCAATCGACACCATTCAATTTCAAGGCACTGTCGATTGTCAAAAGTAAAAAACAAAAACCGATTTCACTAATTCATACACAAGATGTGAAATCTATGATTTTAACTAAATCGGCGAACAACCTCAACATGGCTGCACCCGCCGTCAATCCCATCACCACGGGTCTGTTCGCACTTTTCTACCTTTAATTACATGTAGTTTTATTTCTTGAGCAAATATTTAGCTACAAAAATGCCCAAGTTCAGATTGAAGTGGTCTCAAGTTGCAGGAATAGAGATTTAACTGGGTTTCAAATTGGAGAACGGCGGGGAGAAATTGCAGGAATGTGGAAGCACAAATTGAGGTGCGTGGTGAAGGTAGAAAGCCGAGGGTATAATAGAAAAAGTAAGCCATTTTTTTTTCCAGGCTATCACACCCACCTAAATAATGGGGAATATAATTTTTGGAATCAATACAAATTATGTGGGTCCTTCCCATTCCCATTTTATGAACCAAGCAAGAAAAATTAAGAAAACTGGAATGAAAAACACAAATTGGGTATGACACTACCGAACCAAGTACCTTCTTAGTTTTAATCTTCCTCAGCAACTCCTCAAAAAGGTCAGTCTTCTTCTTGTTAAAATCAAGATCAAACCCCAGATATCTGCCCTTAAACAGACTTCTCTTAATATTAAACATAATTGATAGGTACGTACCAAGTGATAGTGCCGTGTTTGGACTCAGCAGCACAGAAGATTTGTTGAAATTAATTCTTTGTACAACATATTCCATGAACACCTTCAAGGCCCTTGCCAACTCTACTGCTCCTTTTACCGAATTTTTCATGAAGATAATGCAATCATCTACAAACATCAGATGAGTCACTGCAGGACCATGGTTAGACACCGCGACTTCTTTTGCTATTCTAAGGAAGCGATTTCCATTTAGCAAGGATGACAGAGCCTACCGACACAAAATGAAGAGAAATGGTGATAGGGGACAACCCTGTCTTAATCCTTTATTTGGACGAAACTCCTGTTGAACCTTTCCCTGGACAGATACTGCCATCGAGACTGTAGATATACATTGATTTATCTACTTGCGCCATTTTTCCGAAAAACCCATCCGGTACATCACCCTATCTAAAAAGAACCAAGACACTCTATCATATGGTTTGCTCATATCCAACCTTAAAGCCATAAAACTTTTCTTTCCCCTTCCTTTTCCGGATATGTTTTACTATCTTATGGGCAATCGGAGTATAAATAGAGTTAATTTGTGTTTTGGTATTTGTGTTTAGAAGGGAAATAAAACCAAAATGGACTTGTTGTCCATTCAAGCAAGCCCCCTAATAAAACAGTTAATCCTATATTTTTTTTAAAAAATAGAAATATACATTTAATTTAAGGCCATATATCAGAATGGAGATTTAGCCCAAAAAATACATCTTTAAAAAATGAAATGATGACCTGGACAATTTTTAGCTGTCAAATTAGGAAAAAAGAAGAATAGCAGTAAAAGAAAATAAACCAAAAAAAGGGTCTTTCTTCCTCCCTCATTCTCCCGACGGCTTTTTCCAAATTTCTTCCTCAGTCCAACCCCTCTCTCTCTCTAGATCACGCACACTCTTGTTCCCCTTTCTTTCTCTCTCTAAACCCCTACATTCAAAACATCTATACATAAATTTCACAACGGTCCCAGCATTTTCCCATTATTACTTGAATTTGACCGGGGAACTGGAGGATTCTCAATTTAATTCCTCAAATATAAGGAACCCGGGGGAGATCTTAAGCTGTAATCGGAAGTTTTTTTGGAGCTCTTGGATCTGGAGGCAGCTGGTGATCGAACCCGTCGGAGATGGCGCTTTCTGGCATGAGAGGGCTGTCGGTGTTCATCAGTGACATCCGCAATTGCCAGAACAAAGAGCAGGAACGCCTCCGCGTCGATAAAGAGCTCGGCAACATCCGTACTCGCTTCAAAAATGAAAAGGTTTGGGGTTCAATCTAGTGCCTTTTTTCTATGTAGCATTCTATTTTTGGAAATTTCAGTTTCTGAATCGAATATGAGCTGTTCAGCTAAAGTTCAATATACGTTTGATGAAATTGTTGTAAAGTTTTTCCCCTAGGTAATTTAGGGCTTTTAATTTTAGGTGCTCGAGAGTAATTAGTTAAGAATTTTTTGTGTGAGCAGAGTGTTTTTCAGCTCAAGTGATGGGAATGTGGTTTTTGGAAGTGTTTTTTGCTTCTTTTTTTTTTCAGGTGGTTTTAGAGCAGGTTTATTCACCTGAAATCCATAATGAGGGAAATTGATTGTCTAGTTTAGTATTCGGTTTAATCTATGTTCTAGAAAGATTTTGATTGGCCTAGGAAGATAATTTGTACCTGTTTTGGTGCTTTTTGACTGTTGAGCTATCATCTCAATTTTTTGGTTACTTATATTTTTTTTGACGAAAACGGATTGTTCCTGTATGATGCGATGTTGCTGAACTAGATGGCACAGTTAGAATCCTGCATAACTATATGGGAAGTCTGATCAATAGGGAAGTTTGTGCAATACTTGGAACTTCTTGAACTAATGCGTAAATATAGTGGTAAGGCAGAGTCCTTTTACAGATAGGATTCCACATCTGCTCGCATTCTCTAATGATCACAAAATTTGACTAGTCTAGCAGTTCAATTCTTGTAACAAAATCGTGTAACTAGTAAATACTGTCCAGAAATAGAGTGGGAGTATTAGATTATCTTTCTTGCAAAATACACTGGGGAGCTTTATTCTTTTGACATTTTTCTTTTGAGAAGAGCTTTTTGCATACCTGATCAATCCACAACATTTGAAATTGAGGGGATATATGTGAACTATTGAGTTTGTGAAAATTACTGTCAAGAAATATATTACTAGGGACTTAGACTCTACTAAATCCTGTTGCTTAAAGTACCCAGGCTTCTGACAGAGCTACTAATGAAGCATCACACGTTGTACCTTAGAGTAGTTTTTATATCTAATGAAGCATCACAAATCCTACCTTAGGGTTTTTAAATCTTGGGAAATTGTTTTGCTAAAACATGTTGTTGAAGTAAGGGAGTGGTTGTGTATGTCTTTCCTGTTAGAGAGCACTCTCGCTTTAGCTTTCTATTGTTGTTCTCTGTTGAGTGAATATGAAGACTAGTTTCCTGGTTCTTTTAACTTTTTCCTTTTGAAGATATGTTATGGAAGCCAAATATCCCCATCATCAATTTGGTTGTCATGGCCACTCATTATGTTCGCCTAAAGTGTCATGATCTGGAAACTAAAAGAAGTAAACCATTACGTTTGTGCTAATCTTGAGATTTTCAATTGAATTGGTCAATTAAGTAAATTGTAAAACAAAAGTTTCCCATCTAAAATTTTATTTCTCAGAGAAGAAAGCATGGACTAACAAAGGATCATTCGTGTCATAGTGAACCAATATGAAGGGCTACTTGATGGATGTTGCTTACACTTAGACTATTTCAGACTAGCGCTCTATCAGAATTATGCGTGAAATGAAACAAAATAAGTAGTGGAAGATGTAAGGCCTCTTATAAAATTGAATATCCGTGCACATATGAATTTTAATAGGAAGCCGATGAGCATAATTTGATTTGGTTTACTATTCTTGAAATAATTCCTGTTGTTGTAATTAAACATCTGCGCACATATTCTGATGTTGTAATTTCCTGTTTGATTGTTCACGTCTCCTAGGACTGACTGCTCTATTACATGGGCAGGAGATATTTTAAATTGTGATCTAGTTGATAGGATAATGATGTATTCGCGGTTAATTTGCTTCCTCTATTTTTTTTGTCAAAGATTTTGTGCCTGCTTAATTTTTCCAGTTTGTATTTTTGGGTAGAGAATAAATCCAGCAGGCAGAGTAAACCAGCGAATGCTAGTTTTGGAAATTCGGCATATGCTAGTTTCGGAAGAAATTGGCTTCTGCATATTTTAGTGGCCATAGGGCAGTTTCAGGAAATTATGTTTGTTGGGCATTACTTTGCTATGATGCTGAATGCTTTTGAAGATGTGATTGAGATTATTTAATTAGATTTGTTACCAAGTGCTTGTGCGCCAATTCATCAGAGATAAATAGATTAAGTGTGTGATGTTCAATTTACTTAAGAAGAATGGATTCTGAGCCCTATCTGTGCCAAGTTTACTTTTAGTAGGATGGATTCTGAGCATCTTACTCAGAGTAGATATTCACTAAGAAAATACTCCCTCCAGTTCAAAATATAGGTCACTTTAGACTCTACACGTAAACTAAGGAGACAATCATTTAATAATTAATTTGTGTGTTAAATTTCTATTTTACCCATCATTAATTGTTTTGGAATTATAACCAATACTAGATGAAAAGTGGTTATCATTATTTATTGGGGGCAAAGTTGGAAAGTTAGTCATAATTTGCCTTGAAATCATAAAGCGACCTACAGTTTGAAATATTTCTCCAAATTTAAAACGGCCTACATTTTGAAATGGAGGGAGTAATCATTAATACGGTACCTGGCAGAGCTAAGTCAAAATTTGAAGTTTTCTATGAGGTGATAATCATTCTAGGAGTACAATTGGAAGGATCCAGTCTCATTCTTCCCATTCAGAGTCAAATTTTGTAAGCGTGATGTTGTTCTTGTTGGGCTAACTAAGCTTTATGGATGACACATGCTACTCTTGGAGTCAAAATCATTTATCCTCATTCCAGTGTCTTTTCTCTGCACTCATTCTTTGATGTGATATGGAGCACGTGGGAGAAGCTATTTGTCATTTTAACAAATTAGGAAAATTCATCTATCTCGAGTAAGTTGAATCTTTTTGCTCGCACCGTAGCAATTAGCATTGTCTTTGACATCTTATATTTCCGGGTGCCATTTGAGTGTTCACTTTTTTTTTTTTTTAGGCTGTGTGCGGCGTTCAGTTTCTCTTTTTCCCTGAATTAGAATTTGCGTGTCCCTTCTGACTAAACTAATGTCATTACTTTTGTGCAAATGTTATCAATGCCTTTTTGAACCACATAACCAATATTTGTTATGTTATGATTATTTTTGGCATTTGTGGATTACATTATGATCTATGAAACTGATTCTATCTTCGTCTGTTTAGTCTAATTTAGTTTGTTTGTTGATTTACAGGGTTTGACACCTTATGAGAAAAAGAAGTATGTCTGGAAAATGCTTTACATATATATGCTTGGCTATGATGTGGACTTTGGCCACATGGAAGCTGTTTCCTTGTTATCTGCGCCAAAGTATCCTGAGAAGCAGGTAGACCATGATCCCGAATTGCACGATTGAAACAAAAATATAAACTCTCAACCACATGCCTGAAACAATAATATAAACAATAATAATGTTGAAAGTTTGGCTCTGCTGTGTATTAGTTGTTAAATGGGGATTATGCATGTTTTTGGTTTGCACATAGTGAAAGGGATTTTTCTATTATGAGTGTCTTTTGTTATCCGTCATTTACTTGCTCTGAGCCTAGTATATTATTTGAGTGTGCAACTGTCTACCCCGCAGGTTGGATACATAGTTACATCGTGTTTGCTCAATGAGAATCATGACTTCTTACGACTGGCAATTAATGTTGTTCGGAATGATATCATTGGTCGAAATGAAACTTTTCAGTGCCTTGCATTGACTCTGGTATGATTAAAAATGTATCTGTTTTTAGCTCTTCCTTTTTTTTTTTTTAATTTATTACTTGTTGGTTCTGCCTATTAGGATTTCTAAATGGCTTCTGTGCAGGTTGGAAATATTGGCGGGCGTGAATTTGCAGAGTCACTAGCTCCTGATGTTCAAAAATTACTTGTAAGAAGGCATTTGCATCATCTTTTGTTGGGTACTGTTGACTTAAAGATGTTGCTGATGATTTCTTTTTCTTCAGCTCTCTAGTAGTTGTAGGCCACTTGTGAGGAAGAAAGCTGCACTATGTCTCCTACGACTTTTTCGGAAAAATCCTGATGTTGTAAATGTAGATGGCTGGCAAGTGACAGTAAAATTTTCTTTCTTTTTTCTTCTATCTGCGTTAGGAGTACTTATATTGCTGACAGAGAAACACCTTTTAATTTCAGGTCGGATCGGATGGCGCAGCTGTTGGATGAACGTGATTTGGGTGTCTTAACATCTTCTATGAGCCTTTTAGTTGCATTGGTGGCGAATAATCATGATACCTACTGGAGTTGTCTTCCAAAGTGTGTTAAAATTCTGGAAAGGTTGGCTAGGAACCAAGATATTCCCCAAGAATATACTTATTATGGCATCCCGTCTCCCTGGCTTCAGGTCTGTATGTTTTGTTTCATCAAAAGCTAACTTTAATGATTGGCAATTTTTTATATTAGTGTGCAAGATGGTTTTCCTTGCCAGATCCTTCCTTGGCTAATTTTTCTCCTCAAAGAATGGATTGTTTGATTTCAGTTTATGTTCTTGGGATGGGCAGTTCGGTACAGGTCCCTAGGGTGGATTGTCTGTAATTCAATGCATTTTATATGCCTTAGTCATTTGTTTAATGAACTTCTTGCTTAGTTGAGCATCATTTGATGAAAAGAATGGACTCCTTGGCTTATTTGCTTTGAGCATGGAGGACGCAGGACATTAGAGGAAAGTGCTACAAATTTGATAGAAAAGATATTAAAGGGGGTTAGTGGTAAAATTGGTCACTTAGTAACTGGATCCTTTAATTTGGGTTAGCCGAAGTGCAGCGTGCCTAGCATAGCTTGTAGTTTGATGGAAACAGGAGTTCGTGAGTCACATAATATAATGATTTCATTACACTTAGTTCCCCTATCATCTGGTAAGGTGCGGGTTTTTTTTTGAACATTATCATCCAATTATTAACCATTTTTACCACTCTCATGATGCAGGTTAAAACAATGAGAGCTTTGCAATATTTCCCTACAATTGAAGACCCCAACACCAGAAGGGTATTGTTTGAGGTCTGATTTTTGCTTGAATAGAGCTTTTGTTTTCTTGCTCCCGTTAAGATAATGTTTTGACAGGTTACTGCTACTGGATCTGATGACTAGACTTTTTCGGTACATTAGGTTTTACAACGGATATTGATGGGAACGGATGTCGTGAAAAATGTGAACAAGAACAATGCATCACATGCAGTGCTTTTTGAAGCCCTGGCACTTGTAAGTTACCATCTCTAGTTCTTGGAGAGTGTTCGAGGATTTTTTCTTTTTTTTTTTTTGTGGTCAGAAATATTTAGTTTGACACATTTGCTTTGAAAGAAAGGTTGAATGGATTTCAATATCCATATGAATTCCTTTTATTTGTAATGCCTGCATTTTCAAAATCTTCATTGAGTTGACATCTTTCCTCATTCTCACAATCATAATGCTGTGTTGTTGAATATATTGAACAAACAGGTAGCTGCTCCAAAAATTTTGTAAATCTATTTTACTGAGGGACCTTTTAGATTAACTAAGAAGGCGATTGGTTCCATACTTTTTTGCTCCCCCACGTTATGCGTATTCTTGTGCAACAATCACCAAGCATTTAATCTGTAGGAAGGTTAGGGTGGGGTGGTAAGGGTGGATTGTCATTACCACAAGGTCGGGGTTTAGACGTAGTCTGGACAATCCATTTTTTTTAAGAAAAGAAAAGCATTTATCTTAGGATGTGGAGTTGGGCTATATGGATTATATGTCACAGAACACGTAAGGATGAGTTACATTAATGTCTTCACTGAGTTACACACATATAAGACCATGTGTATTGAACTTGAAATGATCCGCATTCCATGTTTACAGGCCTTCGGTCGTAATTAGACATAATTTTGAACTAATTCATTAAAACTAACTGTATCAGTGAATTAGTGACTGTAGTTTCCTTAACTCCTTAGTTTCCTAAACCATCCCTTTTAAAAAGCCGCCCATCATCTTTCCTCATAGTTAGTCAACATTGGAGAACTCATCTTCGCTTAGTGGCTGGGAATATCAAATTTGGGAAAATAGAATTAATGCTTTATAGGTCTAACATGACTTCAGAAGGACCATGAGAACACTCGAAGGGAGTTAACAGGTAGTGCCGTAGAGATAATGATTTTAAGGCAGCTATTTTTTTTTTTAATTTATTTTTTAAAGTAGGCTGTGACCGGGTAATGTTCCTGGCTATGTCTGCATTGTATGTATACAGGCTCATAAACATCTATTGAGTATTATATTTTTCCTATTTCATCTCCCTTTTGCCCTTGTTCTTTGAAACTAGACACACTTGCATTACTATTTCACATAATTTCTTATTTTCGAATCCAAACACGTAAGCTCATGCTTTCACTGTTTTCCAATTTCTGTTTTTTCCTTTAGGTCATGCATCTTGATGCTGAAAAAGAAATGATGTCCCAATGTGTGGCATTGCTTGGGAAATTTATAGCTGTCCGTGAGCCAAATATTCGATATCTTGGATTGGTAAGTTTATCCCTTTTCTTTTGTTTATTTGACAAGATCTCGGGGGTCCCTCCATTTGAGGTTGTCATGCCGTTCTGTATCCCACTGATTCTTTTTTCTTTTTCTTTTGAAATTTTTTATATCAGTTTCCTTTGGGTTTGATATTCATAACCTGCAGGTTTAATATATCCACTGTCAGATCAGAAATTTCTAGGTGATTTTTGTGTCTGATTGTGTTTTTGTTCTGTAATACAGGAGAATATGACCCGGATGTTAATGGTCACAGATGTTCAGGAGATTATCAAACGACATCAAGCTCAGATCATAACATCATTAAAAGATCCTGATATAAGGTAAATGTTCAGTATTTACTGGTCTTTTCTGAGATTTATCTTCCATTTGCATTGCAAATGATGATTCACTAAGCAACAGGCTAGTTAACAGCTGAAACTGAGTGATATCCAAAGTTTTCACACATATCCAAGGGCCAATAATGGAAATTATAGTTAAATAATTGATTAGAACTGATGATATTGTTAGATGTTCTGGCTGCTTATTCTCTTTAAATCATAACTTACATTCTTCTTACGTTCAAGCTTTCAGAATATGCTTTGGTTCCCTTTCTTTGTTGTACTTCTCTTTTCCCTCGTATAATTGTTGAAGTCTGATGTCATCCATCTCTCTACTTATTTACATTTGTGCTTAATTCACCAGTATCCGGAGACGTGCTCTTGATTTGCTGTATGGCATGTGTGATGTTTCCAATGCAAAGGACATAGTTGAAGAATTGTTGCAGGTAACATTTACTAGATCAGAACCTCATGACATTTATTTGTTTGTGTTTCTGTTTTGAATTAGGCAGAAATTGGCTGAGTAGTCCTGACTCCTCCCTTTTTTTCCCTTTCTTTTTTTAGTATCTCAGTTCAGCAGACTTTGCAATGCGTGAAGAATTGTCACTGAAAATTGCAATTTTATCTGAGAAATTTGCTCCCGATTTATCATGGTATGAAGCTAGATCCTCAACATGGCATATAATGTTGTTGGTGTATTTAGTCTAGAGTTGCATGCATTTTTTTTATCGCTAGGAGCTGGAGTAGCTTGATTTATTATGACTTATGGTCTGATTAGTCCCCTTGTTTATGTACCTACACACTGCAAGGATTTGTGGCAAGCAAAGCTATATTTTCACTTATATTAGTTGATATGTAATTGTTTTAACCTGTCATCATGTAGGTATGTGGATGTCATCCTTCAATTGATTGACAAGGCAGGGGATTTTGTCAGTGATGACATTTGGTTTCGTGTTGTGCAGTTTGTTACCAACAATGATGATCTACAGGTAACTAAAATGGCAAGTTCTGGGATTTATTATTGTTTCTTGTGAAGGTAATTTATGCATCACTTTTGTATCATTTACCAGCCTTATGCGGCGTTGAAAGCAAGAGAGTATCTTGATAAGCCTGCTGTCCATGAAACTATGGTGAAGGTATGTTTTCTTCACATAATTTACTGGTGATACTATCATCTTGATAATGGCTCTTCTTAATCTGTTGAGATCGTTATGTATAATGAGTCCCTCCATATTCTTTAGGTTTACTTTCCTTATTTCCCCTTGAGCAGCAACGAAATCTTTAGTTAGTTAAAAACCGTCCACTAGTTGAGTTTATTTTTAGTAGTTGGAACATTGAAATTGGCTTAGTTGTAATTTACTGAAGGTAAAATCTAGTAGGCAAACTAAACTACTTTACTTTTCTTAATATGTGCATAAAGATTTGGGACAGAGATCGTATAAACTGGAGGATGATTAGTTTCAAATGAATTTATTATGACAAGTGTTCTGTATGAGGTCTAGCATTCTAAAAAGTTTTGTTATTTGCAATTTTAAACTTTTCTTTCACAGGTGAGTGCATACATCCTTGGAGAGTACAGCCATCTTCTAGCCAGACGGCCTGGATGTGGTCCAAAGGAAATTTTTAGCCTTTTGCATGAGAAGCTTCCTACTGTTTCGTAAGTGTTTAGTTTTATTTGCTTCGTGATTCTCTCTTTTTTATACTCCATTCTAATATGGATGGAATTCACCAGGACTGCAACAATATCAATCCTGCTTTCAACCTATGCTAAGATTTTGATGCATACCCAGCCTCCTGACCCGGAGCTACAGTCACAGATTTGGGTTATATTCAACAAGTGAGACTAATTTCTTTTTACTCCATGTTTGATTTAATAATCATTCCATTATGATATAGTTTTTGAATTTCATTTTGTAAATTTCCAATTCTTTTAGATATGGGAGCTGTATTGATGTTGAGTTGCAACAGCGGGCTGTTGAGTACTTTGAATTGAGTAAGAAAGGTGCTGCTTTGATGGATATATTAGCTGAAATGCCAAAGTTCCCTGAGCGACAGGTTTGATTGATGATTGGTTTTACTTCCCCAACACATCCACTGAAGGAAACTAATTTTTCAAGACGCCTATAAGTAGTTAAGTTAAATGATAACAATATCTGTTTGTGCAGTCTGCTTTGATTAAAAAAGCTGAAAATTCTGAGGCTGACACTGCTGAACAAAGTGCAATAAAGTTGCGTGCGCAGCAGCAGAACTCTACTGCTTTGGTGGTTACTGACCAGCGTCCAGCCAATGGAACTCCACCTGTTGGCGAGCTTAGTCTTGTAAAGGTTCCATCATCGAGCTACATGGTGAGGATGACACTGTTTGAATTTTAGTGGGGCCTAAATTGTTTCTAGGTGGTCACCTATTAACTGTCACTAGGATTCTAAACTGAAGTTTTGTACATTATCAGGGTGGTGAATCTCCAGATCCAGTCGTGACTGAAGCTAATGGAACTCTTGCCATAGTTGATCCACAGCCGAGTGCTGCTGATGCACAGCCTAGTGCTGCTCCTAAACAGCCTGTTGCTGCTCCTCCACAGCCTGTTGCTGCTTCTTCACCTGACCTCCTAGTTGATCTTTTGGATACACTTGCTATAGAAGGCCCACCTGGAGCTCCTATTGAATCTCAGCACACTATGGCCTCTGGTTTGGCTGGTGCTTCAAATATGGAGGATGCGTTGGCCCTTGCTCCGGTAGAGGAACAGATCAACACTGTTCAGGTAATTGTTATTGCTTAATTAAAAGGCTATTTTTCATACTCCTGTCATTAAACATGGCCAACGGCCATAATTTCACTACTGCTGGTTTTCGTATAAAGTATTTACGGCAACACTTTAGGTCTCATCTTGACTTTCAGAAGTCATTTTCCATAGCATGCAGGAGGTTCTTTGCCTTTATATTCTTTAATGAGGAAATGACAGTTTTACTGGGTGTTTTGTGTTAATTTCTGGTGAAGTGAAAATACATAGTTATATTGATTACCTAATTCTCTTTTAATATTATCTTTTCTCTTTTATTGTCATGTCCGAGTTTTCTGATCATATCTCTCTTGTACCTGCAGCCAATTGGCAGCATAGCTGAAAGGTTTCATGCCTTATGTTTGAAGGATAGCGGCGTGCTGTACGAGGATCCTTATATTCAGGTTTAATCTTTTTCTGCAGCATCAATTTGGAGCTCAGACTTCTCCATTGGTGTTCTGCATTTGACATGCGCTTTTTGATTAAATAATTTCAGATTGGCATCAAAGCAGAATGGAGACCCCCTCATGGACGACTAGTGCTTTTCCTTGGGAACAAAAATACCTCGCCACTTGTTTCAGTACACGCCCTTATCTTACCTCCAGCACACTTAAGGCTGGAACTGTCTCTAGTACCAGAGACTATACCCCCGCGTGCACAGGTTGTTTTTTTGTTCTCTGTGATTTTTTAGATCTGCTTATCGTGAGACTAATTACTAGTTAATGTTTCTTGACTATTCAGGTGCAATGTCCACTTGAAGTGGTCAATATCCGGCCCAGTAGAGATGTAGCTGTTCTGGACTTCTCATACAATTTTGCAGGTCATGTGGTATGTATTTCTTTCTTCCTGAACTAATGACCTGTTATTCATACAACACATACTATACCATCCGTCTATGTCTTGTGTACAGGTTAATGTAAAACTTCGCCTTCCTGCTCTCTTGAATAAGTTCCTTCAGCCTTTACAAGTGTCTGCTGAAGAGTTCTTCCCACAATGGAGATCTCTTTCTGGACCACCATTGAAACTTCAAGAAGTGGTATGTTCACAATAAAGTAATTTTGTATCTGAGATTATTACGGTAATAAAATGATTTTTAACTAATTTGACCTTCTTGACATTGTTCAGATTAGAGGAGTGAGACCAATGGCACTTGGGGAAATGGCCAATTTGTTTAACAGTTACAAGTTGATGGTTTGTCCCGGACTTGTAAGTCATTGCCCCCTTAAAACTCTATATGTGCATCTACTCTGCGAATAAAGAAATTTAAGCATTAATCTCATATGGTCTTTTCAGGATCCTAATCCCAACAATCTGGTCGCTAGCTCTACGTTCTATTCTGAGAGCACAAGGGCTATGCTTTGTCTGGTAAGCAGTTATGCCTTACATACTTGGGTCTCTACTTTCTTTTTAACGTTATGCTCCACAGTCGGTTCATTCTCACTCTTGTTCTTTTGGGTGGTTGTTTCTTAGTTTGACTAGCATTGCAAATCTCTGATACTTGATTTCCCCTGCTAAAATGATATTGAACTATGAGTTCTGTGTGCTTTATGCCATCCTCTTTATTCTTATCCTTGTCTTAGAGTATTCCTCTCCTTTTTTTCCAATTTGGTAATTGTTAGTAGCGACGAATTGGGATGATAGTAGAAAAATGATCTTTTCATGCCATTTCTTTTGTTAAAAGATTGATGCTTGCCAAGTGTGATGTAAGTCATAATTTGTAGTTTAGACTATTTATATTGATGCTCTTCTATTGGTCTTGCAGTTGAGAATAGAAACAGATCCAGCAGATAGAACTCAACTTCGAATGACAGTTGCCTCTGGGGATCCTGCACTAACTTTTGAGTAAGTTATTTGTTAATTATTACTTGGTTGATGTCTCTTTGTTTGAATGTACTGTATGGATTTTAATTTGAAATCTCCCACCCAACGATAAATAGGTTGAAGGAGTTTGTCAAAGAACAACTAATCAGCATTCCCCTAGCCACTCGACCTCCTATGCCAGTGGCTCCACAAACTCAGCCTACCAGTGTACCACCTCCAGCTACATCGGATCCTGCCGCCTTACTTGCTGGCTTACTTTGAACGAGTGATTTTCATGTGTTTGAGACATTGTCCGCGAGGATGCTTGTAAAATTTGACTATACAGATGACCCAATTGTACATCCCGGAAAATATGGTGAGGGTCATGAACAACACTATGCAAATGCAAGGGCTGGCGGGAAACAGCGCTGGACCATCGTATCTGATCGGCTTAGTATTATTGCTTCTTGGAGGTCGGAGTTTTGAGATTCTTTTTCAACCATTGAATAGTAGCGTAAGTGAGGTTTTCCCTTTTTTTTTTTTTTTTTTTTTTTCTTTTTAATCGATTGGATGGGGTTGTCGATTATTACAATCTTTTTCTTATATTTTTCCCCCTTCCATTACTGGCCAGGTTTTTTTAATCCATTGGTTTCTGTAATATTGAGATAGCAGAATGTGAAATATTTGTAGAAAGTAGGACGGGAACAATTGTAACAACTTTTGTTTTCGTTTGGCAGTCCATATGTATTCTTTAACACTGAGTTATAGTTTTGTTCTACCTGATCTTGAAAAGGTGCATTAGCCCAGTATTCTTCCTTTTGTATTTGCTTTTCCTACCTTTCCTGTTTACTTGTTCTGAGATAATTAAATAACTATTCATTCTGTCCCAAAATAAGAATCTGATCCGCTGAATTCACAACATCAGACAGGTTTTTCTTTCTTTCTTCTTTTTTTTTTTTTGGTCAAATAGCCGATTTTGTTAAATTAATTTAATTCAAAAATCCATTTAAGCTGGTGGTTATTACACATTCATTGAACATGTTCTTTTACCAATGGAAAGTGTATAACCTAATTAGCTGTAGCTTGAAACTTTACAGAATATAGTAATAATTTTGTTTGAGTTTTTTACTTTAGTGTAATTTGTACTTCCTCTATTCCAAGTTGTTGTTTAGTCTAGATTTTTATTATTATTTGTTTGTATAATTTGAACTAAATTGTGAAAATTCAATTTGAACAATTATTTCGGTATGGATTAAGTACTATAAATGAAAATTTAAGTCAGATAATCATTTTGAGATAGGAAAATATAACTTAAATTTTTCTTTTTCTTTTTTTAAAATTCACTCCAATGGACTTCACTTAAGTATAGGTAAACCCTCCTTTACAATCTTTTGTGGAAATTGAACCTTGGTCTATTATCAAGAAAGACATCAACCTAACCATTAGATTGTTATTCAATTCCCATATAACTTAAATTTCTAATCATAGCATATGAGCCATTATGGCCACTCCATTTTTGCAGTACAATTAACATCAATTATTGCTTTCAGCAATATCTCTAATTGATCTGCTAAAACAGATTTGAAAATGTATTTTCAATTTGGCACCTTCAGTTTTAATTTTTACGTTCAAAACACAGGTAAACAGAATATAGTGAACCCAAAAAGACTATATATATACATATATATAAATTATTTGTTTTATGAAAATGTAGTTGTTTTTCTCATTTAAAACAAGTTGTCATGTGAAAAATGTTATTCCCACTCCCCATAAAATAGTACAATTTATAATTTACAATATGGACAATCTTTGTAAAACAAAGGAGTACTGGTAAATCATGTAGTACTGTTGAAGTCACCATATGTGATGATTTGATTATCTTGGAAATTAATTTTATGTGATTATTATTATAATAAAAGCGAGTTGATTTTAAAATTTATCTTCCGCTCTAAAATAATCATCTTACTTCTGAAAGTAAAAAGACAACAACAAAAAAAAAATAGTTATCATATTGGATGGAGCAAAGGAAATATAAAAGTCTAAAGAGCATCTTCATTTGCAAAATACAAAATAGATCAAGAAAATTTTGTACAAATGTCGACTGAATGGTTCAATTGATGTTTTAACGGCTGCAATAATTTCTTTGTAAATGGTTTTGCTATATAACAATTTACATGATTAACCAAATCAGTTAGTCGACACGAGCACTATTTATTAATTTTATGTTTACTTATTTAACTTCTTAATAATATCAGTGAAAGTAATTTTCATGGAACAATAGTTCAAGTTTTAAATGTACAAAATACCAATAAATAATATAGAATATTGAAGGGAAAAGGGAAAAAAGAAACCAAATAATAATAATTACACTAAACTAAAACACCAAACGTTACAAAAGTTTACAGAATTGAAGTGACCGTTAGTTTGAAACTTTCTTTTTTTCCTTTTTCTTTTTTTCTTTAATAATCCCGGAAACATCGAAAAAAATATAGTGGCGGGTAACAACTAATTAAATCGGTTACAAACTACAGCACTTCCCGCCATTTCCTTAACCAACGCATCTCAAAAGGTTTTTCTTTTGGTGTTTTGTACTATGCCACCCGACTCATTCTGATTTTCAGGAAAAAAAAATTCCGCGCCCGCTGCTATTCATGACTTTGTAGCTGAGTCGATTCACCGGGTTACGCAAATGCCCCGGCTATGGATACTGCCATTTTCCTTTTCTAATTTTTGCAAGTGATTGTTTTTCCACTTCAATTAAATGGAATAGTGACTCAAGGTTTTCTTCTTTTTTTTTTCCTTTTTGTTTCCTGAGGGATAATCTTTATCTCATATTATTGATGTAAAAGTCGAAAATGAACTTAAATTGAAAAGATTTGCTAAATGTGATGTTTTTATTATGTTCATGATTAAATACATTATATTTATGTCTGATGGAAATAAATTATTTTATTGATATTTTATTTTTATATTTTATGAATCAATTTAGTCATGCCACGTTTACTTTTTTTTTTTTTTTTACTATTTGCAGTATCATCGAACTATATATAGACAAGAAGTTATCTTATGATTTTCTTAAAATATCTTTTGAAAAATATTTGCATAGTTGCTACATATAGTATAGACTATAGATGATAAATTCTAGTTATTACTAATAATTTTAACATCATAAGAAATTAATCATATATCATCAACAGCTATAACTGTTATAAGATATGATTTTGTCTCCATAAAATCTATTTATGAATTAATTATTATTTGTTTGACAATTATAGTAATAAAAATCTGAAATAGTTGACTCGGAGGACGCGACTCGTGAGTTGCGGCTCGAGCGAGAAAGACTCGGCCAGGTTCACAGTCCATTAAGCTGCTCTTAACACAAAAAGAATAAAAAAAAATTAAAAGAAGAAAAGAAAAAAGAAAATCTTTCGTAAAACAACAATCATCAATAGAAGAACGATAGAGACCCCTCCCAAAATTTTTTCACCATCATCATATCACCACACACGCAGTCACACAGTGGTTAAGCAAAGCTCTTTCCTCTTTCTTGTAGGGCTTTTTCTCTCCCATCCTCGCATCTCTTCAATGGCGTTCTTCAGTTATCCCTAAAAAGGTACGGGTTTTTGTTTTGTTTTTTGTTTTTTTTTGGGATTTTACGGGTGATTGAAGCTTCTGGAAATACTCAAAAAGTTCTTTTTGAATACCAATTCTTTCTTTGGTTAATGTGATTCGGTACTTAGTTCGTGGGAGTTATAAACTGTTGATTCAAATTGGTCTTTCTTTTTTTGCTGTTGTTTGCATAGGTTCGATTCGAACTGTCTGTTTCTATTGATGTGCTTGTGTGGGAAAGCGAATTTTTGATACGTTGAAACCCTAGATTGATTCTGGCGGGGATCTTTTAAGCTGGTTCGATCTTAGGGTTGCATTTGGTTTGATTGGTTCGATGGACGGGGAAGTTAGATCGGAGAAGAGAAGGGGGAGGAAAAGGAAGAGGCTTGATGCTCAAAATGCGGAAGTTGATGAACATGGGAAAAAAATGGTGGTAGGATTTAGGCCCAAGAGGTTAGTAGGCTGTTACGTTAGGAAGGAGTTTGAAGGTAGTGGGTTCTTTTTGGGGAAAATCGTTTCGTACGACTCTGGTTTGTACAGGGTTGATTATGAGGATGGGGATTGCGAGGATTTGGACAGTGGTGAACTGAAAGCTTTTTTAATAGAGGAGAGTGATATAACCGGTAAGTGGTTAGTGAGGAAGCATAAGTTGGACAATTTGATATTGAGCAAAGACGAAGATGAGAAGGGGAAAGCCGAGGAAAATGCGAGTAATGTGGTCTCAGTTGATGATGGTGCGGTGACTTCTGCAGTTGATGTCTCGATTGAAGCTGCTAATACTGTTGAAATTGAAGGGGTTAAATTGGATCAGGATGACAATGTTGACTTGAGTGATTCTTGTGACGATGATCTAGAGCCCGAACCATTTCCTGAGGTTGAAATGCTGGCTGTTCCGCCACCAGAGTTTCCTCCTTCGTCTGGGAATATTGGGATTCCAGCAGAGTATGTGTCACACCTCTTCTCTGTATATAGCTTTTTGCGGTCATTCAGTATTCAACTATTTTTGAGTCCCTTTGGGTTGGATGATTTTGTGGGATCACTTAACTGTTCTGTTCCAAATACATTGTTGGATTCTATACACGTTGCTCTCATGCGTGCCCTGAGGCGCTACTTTGAAAAGCTCTCAGCCGAAGGTTCTGAACTCGCATCTAAATGCCTGAGGTGAGTAAGTTTCAATTTTTAAAAAATGATGGCTTCTTAAATAAAGCTCATGTTTGACCTTGCAGTAGGTAGCAATCACTGTTAATGTTGCTGGTATTTTGATTTTATGTTTAGGTTTCACATGCACACTCTCCTAAGCTCTGAACTTTGCTTTTATTTATATGGTTTCTTAATTTTTTCTTCTGCTCTAAAGGATCCATGTTTCCAATAAATAGTGCTTTGGTTGCTTATCCATGACAGGGGCATGGATTGGAGCCTGCTAGATGCTTTGACTTGGCCAGTATATTTGGTCCATTATTTAATAGTGATGGGATATACAGATGCTGCTGAGTGGAAAGGATTTTATCTCCATGCCCTGGAGGGGGAGTACTATGCATTATCTGCTGGGATGAAGCTGAAAGTGTTGCAGATCTTGTGTGATGATGTTTTAGATTCTGAAGAAGTAAGGACTGAAATAGATGCTCGTGCAGAATCTGAAGTTGGAGTAGACCAAGAGTCAGGAATAGCTTTAGCCCCTGTATCTGGACCAAGAAGAGTTCATCCAAGAAACTCCAAAACTTCTGCGTTTAAGGGTCAGGAAGTGATGCATATTATTGCACAGAGTCATGAAACTAAGGTAAAGTCCGACTCTAACCATTTGGGCTTAAATAATCATGGACGGGACGCTATTTCTATTGATGAGGATGGAAATGGAGATGAATGTCGTCTTTGTGGTATGGATGGTACCCTGCTTTGTTGTGATGGATGTCCTGCATCCTACCATCCTAGATGCATAGGAGTGAACAAATTGTCAATACCCCCAGGGGCTTGGTATTGTCCTGAATGTACTATAGACAAGGTTGGGCCGAAAATCTCAAGGGGAACCTCTTTAAAAGCAGCGGAAATATTTGGTGTTGATGTCTATGGGCAAGCGTTTCTTGGTTGCTGTGATCATTTACTTGTGTATGTTATCTCTCTCCTCTTTTATCATTACTTTGGTTTTGTGTTTAGGTGCCTCCTCTTTTTGGGGGTACTCTTAATTAGAAGATCTTGGACACAGGGCTTTTCTCTGTGCTGCTATTTTGTGCTTTCACTTGAGATCTTAGTTTGTTGCTGGCGGTTTTATGACCTGATCATTTCCTATACTTCACAAAACAGTATATATAATTTTTGGTTCATATTTCATTGCAGGTTAAGTGTCTCAACGAACTCAACATCTTGTATTCGGTATTATAGTTCAAATGACATTGCAAATGTTCTCCAATTGCTGCTTTCAAGTACGGAACACATTGTTACATACTCAGAAATATGCAAAGCAATCATCCAGTACTGGGAAATTCCAGATGATATTTTTTCAATTACTCAGGCATATGGGACTGCTAAGCAGTCTGCAAATGAGGATGTGAAGAGCTCTATGCCATCATCAATTATGCCATTAGGCTTGACAAGTCATTATGCTCCGGAAGCAATCCAGAATGTAGATATTGGTAACTCAGGAAATATGAGCAAGGACTCTTTGGTTGCATTCAATTTCCCTGATCATGTTGGTCAAATAGGGTATGACAGTTCCAATTCTGAACAAGTAGCTCCTTTCACAAACATTTTAAAACTCGAAGACAATGAGGTAAAAGGTGCTACAGCTACTTTTCCTTTTGCGTGTGATGCAGTTCTATCTGATTCCATGGGAAATGGTAAGTCTGGTCCTGCTACGTGTAAAATGGAGTCCATTGCTGGAAATTGTGGGGAGAATGTGAATGAACCTAGTATCAGGCCTAAACTTACTATTAGGATCAAGGGCATTAAGAGTGGATCTGGCAAAAGTGATGGAAATTCAAGTTCTATCACGTACATGGGATCTTCCTTTAAAGTCCAGGGATATGTAAATAATTATTTACATGGGGATTTTGCTGCCTCTGCTGCTGCTAACCTGTCAGTTCTATCATCCGAGGAAAACCAGGTTTCTGGTTCTAATTCATCTGAACGTCGTAGACTTATCTCTGCCAATATTTCTCTTCAAGTGAAAGCATTCTCCTCAGCAGCAGTGCGATTTTTCTGGCCGCATACTGAAAAGAAACTTATTGAAGTCCCTCGGGAAAGGTGTAGTTGGTGTTTTTGCTGTAAAGCCCAAGTGGTCAGCAAAAGAGGGTGCTTGTTGAATGCTGCTGCCTCAAATGCAACAAAGAGTGCAATGAAGACTATATCTTGCTTGCGGAATGTAAAGGGTGGCGATGGAGTTGTTCCTGGAATTGCCATGTATGTTATGTTTATGGAAGAGAGTTTATGTGGTCTAACTGTTGGTCCATTTCTAAGTCCTGAATTCAGAAGTCAATGGCGCAGACGCATGGAGAAGGCGAACAATTGTAGTGCGATCAAGTTACTTTTACTTGAAGTACATCACTCTCTCTCTCTCTCTCTCTCTCTCTGATTTCATTATTTTTTCCTTTTGGACCTTCTTACTGTGATGTTTCTCTTTATCTAGTATTTATATGTGCATCACATTTTTTATACTGATGTGGTTTTATTTTCCTCACTTGTCCATTACTCTGTCCTGCCCGTTGTTGTTGGTGAACTTAAGCGTCTAAATTTATCGAGATGTGTTGAAGTGTTTTCATTTAACACTCTGAGGTATTCATTTGCTTGGTTAATTGAGGTGCTGAAAGGGAAACATGTGGGTTCACAGATTTATACTTACATGTATGGTCACGCTGTTATGGTGCATATTAGGTATTCTTTGAAGAATGGACTCGATATGGTTCCCAGAAGCTTTCAATTAATGATAACTCTAAGTTTGGTTTCAAGTTTTCCTGAGTTGCATGATTTAATTTTCTCTTGCTCTCTGCACCTTAGCCAACTTGATTTTCATATATTTGTTTTTGGGTTTCACCACCCTCAAAATTAGTTCCTCTTCCTGCCTTTTTAATCCCTAACTAACAAACCTCTTGCCCCTTGTCTGTCACCAACTACGTGTAGCAGCTGTTACGCCGTGCTCTTTCTGTGCCCATATTTAAAATTTCTTGTTTCATCATGTTTATGCTCACAGCTTGAGGAAAATCTTCGTGCAATTGCTCTTTCTGGGGACTGGTTTAAACTTGTTGATGGCTGGTCAGCTGAGCCTTCTGTTATTCAGAATGCTGCAAATGCTCCTGGATCGACTCAGAAGCGTAGGCCTGGGAGACGTGGAAGGAGAAGTGCTGCTGTAGAGGAAGCTACTGCTGATGACGACCAGGACACACTGAATGACTTCACTTGGTGGAGAGGGGGGAAGCTTGCTAAGCATCTATTTCAAAAATCAATGTTGCCATGCATGCTGGTGAAGAAAGCTGCGCGTCAAGGTATTGAAAACACTTCAATTCTTGTTCTATCACGAGTGCAAGCTGCTTATGTTTCCATGTTTGTACTGCTGCGATATTTTCTATTATAAGAAAAATTGCTTTGTTAGTGTGATTCTCTGACAGTTTCCGGGTAGCAGGTGGTTCCAGAAAAATACCAGGCGTTTGTTATGCTGAAACTTCTGAGGCTCCAAAAAGAAGCAGGCGACTTGTTTGGCGAGCTGCTGTTGAGATGAGCCGGAATGTTTCTCAGCTGGCCCTTCAGGTTTGTTCTTTTCAAATTATGCTACTTTTTGGGCCCATAAAACTCGCATCCTACTTTCCCCCCTAAACTTTTTGTAATTTTGCCATTTTTTCATTTTTGTCACGATATTTTTGTTTTATGATTACTTAAGAAGCAACTTTTAACATATTATCCTCTAATAACAGGTTAGATACCTAGATTTCCATGTGCGGTGGAATGATCTCTCCCGTCCTGAACCAACAACTCAGGATCCAAAAGGTTCAGAAACTGAGGCTTCTGCCTTCAGGAATGCAAATATCTGTGATAAGAGAATCCTGGACAATGACATCAGATATTGTGTTGCGTTTGGGAGTCAGAAACATCTTCCTTCTCGTGTAATGAAGAATGTGGTTGAAGTGGAGGATAGTCAGGATGGAATAGCGAAGTATTGGTTTTCTGAAACACGCATTCCGTTGTATTTGATTAAGGAATACGAAGAAAAAGCTTGCAAAGCTGTAACAAAATCAACTGACAAACCGGTGGATACACATGTAATATTCGACACGAAGAAATTGAAGACTTTTCGGAAGGATATCTTTTCTTATCTTGCGCGTAAGAGACAAAATCTGGAGAAGTGCAGTTGTGCATTGTGCGAGAAGGATCTCCTATATGGGTATATCTCTTGTGCATTCTTATTTTTGTCCTTTCTTTCACAAACTATTAATTATTGATTTTTGGCCTTTTTTTTTTTGGTATTGTAGGGATGCGGTCAGCTGTATTATTTGTCAAGGTATTACAACAGGCATTTCTCTGTATCTTATTCTTATATTTAACAAGTTAGAAACTTGTTGGTTTTTTAATAATCTGGCCTCTTTGCCATGTCCTAAGCTGACTCATTTTTAGAGAATGATTAAGAATATTGTCGCTTATGGTATTGTACATACTCAAAAATCTTCCAGCCATATGGGATTTGACAGAATTACCTTACTGAGGGATTGCGTTGGACCTAAACAACAGAGTCTTCCTCTTCTTCGGGAATGTCTAGTTTCCGCTTTTGCTAACTTCAGTCGATTTAATAACTTACGGAATTATTGTATATTCTTTCCCCTTACACGTGGTATTTCTTTGTTCATTTTGCTGCTAAATTTCAAACTTCTCATATGAAGATTCAGAGTTAATTATGGAAACAAGAGCCCTCTCTTTGTTTCTGGCTTTTTTCGTTAAGTATCTTCATGAAGCTTACTTGGACCTCTCCATGTTCTCTCATTTCAAAAAATTTGTTGTCCCGTTTTCCTCTTCGACATTGTGTTGTAAATTAGAATGTCACAATGGTAAAGATCTTAGGACCTTTTGCTTTGTCTTTAAGGGTTAACTCATGGTTTATGTCAAAACGAATAGTTATTTGAATTAGCTTTAATCTGATGGAAGAAAGACACTTTTTGTTTCGGATGCATTGGTTCCTGATTCACTCCTCAAGCCTGTTAGTCCAATGTTTTCCTAGTCAACTTTAGGTTTATTGGCTGTTCTCTCCAAATTTCCAACTTTTTGCATCCAGCGTTCTTCATGGATAACACTTTCCTGAAATTTATTACCTTGCCCCTTTGAATTTCCATCTGAATGCCAGATACAATGACCCCTTATCTTTTACACCACGAAGCATAAATATGGAACCAAGAGAAATATGAATTTAATAACGGTCATCCGCTAATTAAGATATATCCTATGATAGTATTTTCTTCCACCGATTTTAGTTAAGCTTTGAATGTTGCATGAAGATTTGCAACATAACGGCTAGGACTCGGAATAGACAATTGCATCATTAATGCATCTCATAATTTAGCTTCCGAATTGGAAACACTCCATTTCTTTGATGTCATTAAATTATATCATTAATACATCTCATAATTTAGCTTCCGAATTGGAAACTCTCGATTTCTTTGATGTCATTAAATTATATAATGTACAAAAATTATCAGAAAGATTACTGGAAACTCGGAGTACATTTTCCTCCACAAACATTTATTAAATGCATGGGTATTCAGTGCGGTTACAAATTTATTTTCCGTATTTGCTTTTGTTGGGAGAGGGGTGGACGGTCATCCTTTTGTATTTTATGGTTGAAGTTTGGTGAGCTCTGTGTTTTATATAAAGTGCATTTTATGATTTCGTTCTTCATTGTACAGTTATTTCTGTACAAGATTTTCTTTTGTTGGGGAAGGTGCGAGGGGTGATTTTGTATGCATTTTATAAAGTGCATTGTTTTTGTAGTTCTACTTCTGCTATGTTTAGTGAAATGATCTCTGGAAAAGGAAGTAAAGTGAAAGAAATCGACACATCTTTATGTCGTCGTCTCCATGATTTCGTGGATGTTCCTTGTTTGGAGTCTGAAGATTTACATTAATGTTGAATGTCAGACACATACTTTGGCATATGTGAATTGAAATTTAGTTGAATATCTAAATTTTTGATGCCTTTCTGTATCAGTATGTATCATTTTATTCTTGTTGAATGACTGCTTTTCTTTACAAAATATTTGAAGCACTGTGACTCCAGATCCTAAACTGCAAAACCTGGGGATTTGAGCCTAAACACTTTTAGGATTATCTTTGATCTCACTCGATGTATGTTGTTGGATCACAACTTTCTTTATGAAGCATATTAGTAACATTCAACCTATTGAAAGATTTAACTGGTGATGCATGATTTGTAAGTTGATGGTATCTTTAGATGATTTTCTTGTAAGCATGTAAAAAGTGGCTTCTGATTCGGTGCTCCTTTTGGGGCTCATTTCTTCATCCTTGTCTTGGTACATTTTGAAAAAGGCTCCTTATTGCTTCTGTGCTCTTGTTGCTGGGGGTTTGCTTTGAAGCTCCTCAGGTTGATGGTTGTACTTATGAAATTCAGCCCCAGTAGAACTAGGTTGTACTCATCAGGTAGTATCTCTTGAGTATAAGACTGTTACTTGATATTGTTGTTCTTAGGGTTAAACGCCTCTCAAATTGTTTAAGATGTTAAACATTGATTGTTTCATGTATTTTGCTGACAGGTTCAGCTCCCTCTCAGTGCTCTTGTCTAGAGAACCCAATAAATTAACTGTTCACATTTTTTGCAGGTCTGTATCATGATCAGTGTGCAGTTAGTTCTATCACACGCATCAATGAGGAAGTCAAGTACTTGATCACTTGCAAGCGTTGTTATCAAACTCGAGCTCCGAGTCAAATTGAAAGCAGTAATGAATCTCCAACGAGTCCATTACACCTGCAGGGACAAGAATTCTCTAATATGGTGATCAACCAAGGTGTACAGCTAACCAATTCTGATCATTCATCAATTACTGTCAAAAGCTTACAGCCCTCACAAGCGCCGACATCAGTTACTTCTTCTAAATCCTCATCCAAAAGCAAAAGAAAGTTATTATCATGGGGTCTGATTTGGAAGAGGAAGAACCCTGAAGACGATGGGAGTGATTTCAGAAGAAATAATATTCTAATGAAGGACCCAGGCTCGAATTTTCCAGATATCTCTTGCTACCTTTGTCAAAAGCCATATAATCCTGATCTGATGTACATCCGCTGTGAAGATTGCTTAAGTGAGTATCTTCGTAACGTTCTGAGTTAGCTTGGTCTTATGGTAACTTTTGGTTTTCAGAAAAATAAATTTGCGTTTGGTTGCTATCATTTGCAGATTGGTATCATGCAGTAGCTGTTGAACTTGAAGAGTCAAAGATTTTGGAGCTGTATGGTTACAAATGTTGCAGGTGTCGTAGGATTAAAACCGCTGAATGCCCATTCGAAGATCAGGTTAATAAGAGAAAAAGTAAGAGTAAAAAGAAAGCTGAGAAGGATTCCAATCTGGACATAATCTCACCATCTGCTAAGGTGGAGCCTCCTTCTAAGAAGAAAGTGGCGCATGTAGAAGTTGAATCTTCTCATCTAAATCATACCAGTGTTGAGCAATTAACTGAACAGAATTCAAATGTTAATTATGGGGGGGATGCTGCCACTTTATCCCGATCTGGCCCTCAGAAACTGCCTGTTCGACGACATAACAAACATGAAAAGGAAGACAATTCATCCAACATCGGGGTAGCTTCTTTTGAAGGAAATATCTTCAACTCTGTGGAGGGATCATTGGCTCATGCTGAATGGGATGTTAGTGCAAATGGCGTAGATGATAGTTTGATGTTTAACTATGAAGATCTCAGCTATGAGGATATGGAGTTTGAACCTCAGACTTATTTTTCCTTTAATGAGTTGCTTGCATCTGATGATGGTGTCCCTCAGAATGGTTCTTCTGAAAATGCAGATGAGGGTTGGGAGAAGTCGTCCCTTCTCCATGTCGATGATGTTACAGATCTTTCTTTCTATCCAGAAGAATCTTCTGTTACTGTTGAACATGCAGTTGATATTGTGCCCTGCAAGATGTGCTCTTTTCAGGAACCTAGCCCTGATCTTTGTTGTCACATATGTGGTCTTTGGATTCATGGTTATTGTTCGCCTTGGGATGAACCCGCCTTTTTTGACGAAGGTTGGAGATGTGGCAATTGCCGTGAATGGGTATAATGGTCTATCATGAAAACGTCAGTGGACTACATCTGTTTTGGCTGTGACAGGTATGCCCCCATCGTTTGTAATGGGTGGTACTAACAGAAGTACACAGATTGCTTCCTAGGAGGTTATGCACAATGTCACCTTAGGGTGGAAGAAGCGAATTCCATGGTCAGAAGGGAATCCTTCCTAGCCCAACTTTGAAATTCAGTGTAACTTACATAGCTGTTCATAGCTTCTTATAGCCAAGATTGCTTGCTTGTAAAGTTGGTGTTCTGTTGCCAAGTTTGTTACGAGGTAAGGATGAACAAGAGAAGGGTTCTGGAGTTGTTACCTGGACGTAGGCTCAGGGCCCAGACAGAAAAGAGCGATATGCCAAGTTTGAAACCTACAATTTCGACATGACTTCAGTAGTCTTCCATCTATTGTTGGAGGAGAATTGAGGTGTATGGGTCTGCGGCCAGAGTTGTTGTAAGTTACTTTCTTGTGATGAGCTATTTTTTGGTGCTTATCTGATTCTTTTGATGTACACAACTACAGACTTTCCGACTTAGGAATTTTGACACCAGGACCATTAAGGTCTTGCAAATTCATGGAAATGAATTTCATCAAAAGCAAAGAAAAGGAGGAATGGATGATTGCATCATAAGATGCCTAAATATGGATTCCAGTGATTGGTTAAGTAATGTTTCCTCCGTGTCGGATTTATTAAACTCACATTTAAATGAAATTTTCTTTTAAATTGTATTCACTCTGTCCCAAAAAAATAGTCTACGTTGAGTTGAGATTTGTATTAGTTTTAATATAAATTTGAAAACTTAACGTAAACTATTTTTTGGATTTGTAAATTAGTTTGGCGGTGGAGTATAGTTGAATTGGGTAGCTGGAGCTTCTTAGGAATACAATTACTCGCAACGGAGGGTTACATTCATACTGCAAACTTGTGCAAAAATACAAGATTTAAGCGTCACAGCAAATGGACTTCCTCCGGAAGTATCATTGAAGTGTTTTAATCCTGAGCTAAAACTACGTCTTTTTTCATGAACAGTGATTGGACAGGGTTTTTGGGACAGGTGATCCGAACCCCTCCATAAAGTTATCCAATCAGATAATGAAATATTAGTGGTGATAAGTAATATAAGTAGACGAAAAGATTTTAAACATCTTTCTCTTTTATTATGAGAATAGTCTGATTATAATGATTAATCTCATCGACCGAGTTACTCAAGTTCAGAATATATTATTTTCTGAACGATAAATTAGTTAAGGGCACTTGATGTCCCTATAGTTTCCGATTCAATTTTCGTTTTTGATTTTTTTTCACGGGAAGAAATCAATCTTAATAATATTATATAACTTGAGTAATTTTTTCACGTGAAAAATATTAGGGTCAAAAATTAAATTGAAAAATATTTTTAAGGACTAAAAAGATGGGACGCCCATTACTTAAAAAAAATGTGTTCACTACTGATAATTAACCAATCAAGGACATGAATATCCAGTTTCTCCCATTCAACCAGTCCATATTTACTAACGTTAACATAAAATTAAAATTCCCTTCAAAACCCTTGTCCTTCTCGCCCAATTCTTGATGTTCTTGTGTGTTTGTTTTGCTTCTATTTCCTTCATTTTCAGTAGCTCAACAACTTCCCGGGTAAATTAAAGGGCCGGAAAAGAAAAATGAGCTGTAACAGAGCTGCCGCTTCATTTTCCGAACCCATCAAACGGAGAATTTTCTACCGCACCGCATCGCCGGCAACTCACGAACCCCATTATCAGAATTTGAACCCCAAAACGCCGCGTGTTGTCAGGATACAGTTCACCGACTGCGATGCTACCGATTCCTCTGGCGATGAGGATGAGGATGACGATGACCGGAGTCAGGCCGGCTTCCATTCCCGGCGGGGAGGTCGTTTGAGGACGTACGTGAACGAGATTGTAATTCAGGAAAAGAAGGATCTTTTGAGCTGCGGCGGAGGCGGAGCTACGGCGGTGACTGGAGGAGGAAAGGAGAGGAAGAGGTCGTTGGGGGATTCCGTTGCCACCCAAAATGTGAAGGGAGAAAGCGTGAAGAAGTATCGCGGCGTACGGCGACGGCCGTGGGGCAAATGGGCGCGGAGATAAGAGTCCAGAAGGGAAGGGTTTGGTTGGGAAGTTTTAATACCACAGAAGAAGTTGCCATGGCTTATGACAGAGCCGGGGAGGATCTTTTGACCTGCGGTGGAGGCGGAGATACGGCGGTGACTGGAGGAGGAGGAGGAAAGGAGAGGAAGAGGACGTTGAGGGATTCCGTTGCCACCCAAGATGTGAAGGGAGAAAATGTTAAGTATCGCGGTGTACGGCGACGGCCGTGGGGCAAATGGGCGGCGGAGATAAGAGTCCAGAAGGGGAGGATTTGGTTAGGAACTTTTAATACAGCAGAAGAAGCTGCCATGGCTAATGACAGAGCCGCGATTCAGATACGTGGGCCTGATGCTTATCACAAAAGTATTTTCTTTCCCCCTTTTTTAAAGCTAGGAGCTTTGAAGCTTGCATGAAGATTCACTATATAATTGCTCAAACAGGGACTATCTGATTGCCTCATTATTGTATTCCATAATTGAGCTTCCAAACTGCAAATGTTCTATTGCTTTGTACTCATTAAATTGTATAGTGTATTAATCCAACAGGAAGTGCTTGAAGCTTCCACTTTTTTTTCTTATAATGTTTTTTTTAATCTTGTGCATTTCATACTGAATCTTCGTGAGTTCTATGATAATATATGCATTGTTTTCCTCATGTTTATTGTTGCTGTTCTTCTTCCATCGAATATTAGTGATTTCAGCGTTGTTTATTGAAATGGTCTTCGGAAAAGGAATTGAAGAGAAAGAAATTGGGATTTATCTTGGTGTTTTGAGCCTTTGACATTTGTGATTGAGCCATTGTTGGTAGCTTATCTTATCGGTTATGTTGTCGTTTCATTCTCATTGGCTGAGTTCTTTCCTTTCCAATATATTAAAGCACTGTAACCCCTGATCTGAAGCAGCAAAAACTTAGGGCTCTGAGCATAAACCCACTTCCAGGATTATCTCTGATCTTACTCAGTGAATAGGTTTTGGATCGTAATTTGCTAGACAAGGCATACTGCCTGCATTCAAGCTTTAAGTGGTTTCCATTCGAGTTATCTTTGATCTCATTCTTTGTAAACATGATTTGCCGTTATGGTATTTTAACATAATTTGCTTTCAAAGTACTTAAGAAGTGGCTCCTTGTATCTTCTTTGCTCCTTTTTTGGCACTGATTTTCTTAATCCTTGTCTCGGTACTTCTTGAAAAGCGTTCCTTATTGCTTCTGTGCTGTTGTTGTGGGGAGGTATTCTATGAAGCTTATCAGGTTGATGATTGACAGATCCATCAACTTGCCTCCTTACCCATTATACTATCTCCCAGTAGAATTGGGGCTCACATTCATTTTCTTTTTAGGGTAAGGCTGTTACAAGGCATAGTTGTTTCTAGGGCCTAACACCTCTCAAAGTGTTGAAGATCCTAAACACTGACTGTGTCATGTATTTTACAGACCATAAAGTACCTTCCTCTCCAGGACCAAATAAACAAACTGTTCACATCTTTGCAGGTCGTCATCACATGCAGAGTACAATTCATTCGGCTGTACGCATTGAAGAGGAATTCAAGTATCTTACTACTCGCAAGCGCTGTTATCAACACAAAGCTCTCAGTCAAAATGAAAGCAGCAATGAATCTCCTACGAGTCCATTTCACCAGCAGGGACCAGAATTTGTTGATATGATGATAAACATAGGTGAACGGCTAACTGATTGTGATCATTCGTCAGTAATTGCCAAAAGCTTACAACCCTCTAAATCCAAGAGCAAAAGCAAAAGAAACCCTCTAAACTCGTTTGAGGATAAGGAAATTGAGAGAAAAGGTAAGGGTAGAAAGCTAGAGGAGAAGGATTCTAATTTGGACACAAGCTCACCACCAGCAAAGGCAGCGCGTCCTTCTAAGAAGAAAGTGGTACACGTTGAAATCGATTCTTTTCATTTAAATCATACAAGAGTTGAGCAATTGACTGAACAGAATTCAGGCATTAATTATGGTTGGAATGCTACTACTTGCCCTCAGGAACTGCCTGTTCGGCAGCGTAAAAAAGAATGGAGTTCATCCAATGGTGGGTTATCATCTTTTGAAGGAAATATCTTGAACTCTGAGGAAGGATTTTTGGCACCAACTAAGGCTAGAAAGAAAAATGAGAAGGATTCTGACTTGGACATAATTTCACCACCAGCTAAGGTAGAGCCCCTTTCGAAGAAGAAAGTGGTCGATTCTTTTCATTTAAATCATACAAGAGTAGAGCAATTGACTGAACAGAATTTAGGCATTAATTATGGGTGGAATGCTAGTACTTTATCTCGGTCTTGCCCTCAGAAACTGCTTGTTGGGCGACATAAAAAGGACTCATCCAATGGTGGGTTATCATCTTTTGAAGGAAATATCTTGAACTCTGGGGAGGGATTATTGGCACCAGCTAAGGCTAGAAAGAAAAATGAAAAGGATTCTGACTTGGACATAATTTCACAACCAGCTAAGGTAGAGCCCCTTTTGAAGAAGAAAGTGGTCGATTCTTTCCATTTACATCATACAAGAGTAGAGCAATTGACTGAACAGAATTTAGGCATTAATTATGGGTGGAATGCTACTACTTTATCTCAGTCTTGCCGCCAGAAACTGCCTCTTCGGCAACATAAAAAGGGAGGCAGTTCATCCAATGGTGAGGAACTGTTGGCTTATGCAGAATGGGACGTTAATGCAAATGGAATGGATGGTGGTTTGATGTTCAACTACGAAGATCTCAGCTATCACATGGAGTTTGAACCTCAGACGTACTTTTCCTTTGATGAGTTGCTTGCATCTGATGATGGTGTTCCTCAGAATGGTTCTTCTGGAAATGCAGGAAATCATCCCTTCTTTGTGTTGATGAGGTTATAGATGCTTCTTTCTATCCAGAACAACGCTATGTGACTGTCGAGCATGCAGCTGATACAGTGCCAAACAAGATGTGCTCTCTTCAAGAACCTAGCCCTGATCTTTGTTGTCAGATGTGAGGTCTTCGGATTCACAGCTATTGCGCCCCTTTGGATGAACCCTCCATTTTTTGATAATGGTTGGAGACGTGGCGAATGCTGTGAGTTTGTATACTAATACCAACTGGTCATGAAAACTTCTGTGGACTACTTGTTTTGGCTTTGGGGTGGAAGAAGTGAATTTCGAGATCAATAGGCAAGCCTTCATGGAGCTCATCAACTGGGAAGTTCACCATTCCTTAGATAGCTGCTCCTAGCTTCTTTTGGCCAAGATTGCTTACAAAGGTGGCTTAAGATGAGGCCTGTTATATACTGCCTCAGTCCCTCTGTCCCAAAATGATTAGTCATAGATTTATACTAGTTTTAGTGTAAAGTTGAAAACACAATGTAAGTTATCTTTTTGAGACAAGGAGTATATCTTTTCATCAAAAAAAACTCAAAAGCAATGTAAAGAAGGATAAGGTGTAAGCTGTTTGGCTTTTGAAGGTAGGCGGCCAATTAAAATTTTCTTTTTGTTATCTAAAGCGCCTGAAATCATTCAATGCGAGAATCATATATATATATATATATATATATATTTATGTATGGGAACAATTATGGTCCAGTCGACTGTATGGTTCAGTCTTATATTTATTACGGTAGGATCAATTTGAGCAACTAACAACCTTAGGATTAAAACAAGGGTGTACCGTAAGGAAATAGATCTAAAATACACATGATTATACATTGGAAACCGGCAACCGATTAATTGTGGGAGTAAGCCAATTAATTACAAGAGGAAAAAAAGGTTATTTGACGAAGGAGAGAAACTATATCACTGACGGTAAAGAACATGATCGACACACATCTCCTTCTACTCTCCTTCTACTCCCGTGTATGAGAATCATGGCCATGACAATCTACTGCTTCAATCTATACATCATTCCTTGTTTCTATTCAATCGAGTCAGGGGGCAACCAAATCATTCAATCAAGTCAGGCAATAGAAGAATACGGATATTTGGTAAGGGTATGTATGAATTTGTGCTCTAAGTTTTCAATAATCACTAGTTTATGAGTATTTTGCTTTAGTAGGAGTGAAGCTTTCATTAGCAGGTTGTGCTTTAATTAATTATCCTTAGTTGACGGAGTTGCATTCGATGATTAGTCAATTTCTTGATGGGTGCCTTCAACTGGAGGTTCTGAAAATGCAGAACTGTTTAGTGCTTTTAAATTATTAGGATCGCATCAAAAGTTGAGACGGATTGATTTGATATAGTACAGATCATGATATAGTGTTATGGTGGTGCCATTACAAGTATTAAAATTTAAATAATTTTATTTCCACAGATAATTGGTTTGACTTTTATTATTTTTTATTTTTCCCGTTCAAAAATAGTGTTATTACTATTATTTTTATGCGTCCATCCGTGACAGCTACCGGAGCCGTTGTCAGGTAGTATGATGTGATTTCTTATTTGGTTAGTTAGTCTAGAATTTTTGTATGATTTTAGTTATATTTGGATTGAATTGATTAATTGGATTTTTGTTACAAAGTGTGGTTTTTTAAATTTGTTTTTTATATTTCATTCAATTAGAGTGGTTTTCTTTTTTTAATTATAGAGTCTCAGGTTTTTTTTCCGTATATGCCCAGTTATGAAGTGTGTTTTTCTTTGTTTAATTGCTTTTGATTTTGTTTCATACTCCCAATTGATCAATTATTATTAATATCATTATTATTTTATTTGCAAATGAAGCACGTGTTTTTTTTTTTTTGTGTTTGGAGTTTCAAGAATATACTTTTTTTGATTTGGTTTTTGGGCTTTTTTTAGTTACTTATCATATAAATAATTTAGGTCGCTTCTTTTAACTAATTTATGGGGAAGCCTTTTATGAATTTGAGGTGTAGAGGAAAGGAATGATGTTTCTACGTTTATTTGTGCTTTTATACATCATCTTTACCAACAGAAAAAAAAAATAAAAATTCTCAAATTTTAATGGGCTATCATTTACTCTTTTTTTTTATTCGCCATGGTGAGGTGAGTTCTTTTTTGCTATATCTTGAAACCTATGCAAATTTGCATTATTTTCATTCTCATATTTGTGATCAACCAATTTCAACAATTAACCAGTGTCAAAATCATATTTTTGATATTTTACTACCTATAAACTTTTGGAAGAGATAGTTCCAACAATTAAGCGTATACCCTTTGGAGGAAGCTAACTACAAAACTATTATAAATCTCCAAAACTAAGTATTGATTTGGCACAACCAATGGAGAACATTAATAAATTATCTTACTAGTATTTAAACTTATTAGGATGCTTTTATATTTTTTCTAGTATTTACTTCAATACATATATTTGATCAAGTTTATTTATATTTAAGAAGTAACACTTATAAAACATTTCTGAAATCTTCAAACATTTCTAAAACGTACCGGGCCAAATACAATTTATTTTTATGCCATACAAACATCACACTTATAAAACATTTTTAAAATTATTCAAATATTTCTAAAATATATCGGGCCAAATACAAAATATTTTTTTTCAGATACAAATATTTCTAAGATCTACAGATATATTGGGTCAGGGTCGCGCAATTGCGACCAAACATCACTAGTATATATATATATATATATATATATATATCAATCATCTTCAAGTTTTTTTTAGACGTATACTTAATCAAATAGGACAATAAATAAGAATCCAGTCATAATTTTTATTAGCACTGGAATTGGAAATAATCAGCTCTATTAATAATTTATTTATGATGGCAGTTAAATTATTTTTTTAACTTAATGAGTGAACGAATACTTTTTGACAATTTAGTGGTTATGAAGTAAAGTAAATTAAGGTAGTATATTCTTGTCCCAAAAAATAATCACTTTATTATATTAAATATTTAATATAATATTTAAGATAGTATTTAAGGTAGTATTTTCTCGTCCCAGAAAAATAATCACTTTATTATATTGATTAGTCTATTCTAATTTAATAAAGTGGCCTATTATTTTCTAATGTTGTTTTGTGAACTTTCTAGATTCTTATTCATATTGTTTAAGTGTAACACAATTTTTTTTTTTGGGGGGACATAAATAGCTCACATTTAATGTAAGGGAAAGAGTTCGCTTTACATTTTTTTTTTTTTTTTGGGTTTTTGGTAATAACTAATAATACAATAAGAGAAGTCAAACCTTAATTATGCTTTTTTGTTTTTGATAATAACTAACAATAATAATACAATAAGAGAAGTCAAACCTTAATTATGCACACTTTGTAGTTTGTATTGTAAAGGGGAAAACCGATAATTTCGATTCCCAAATTAAATTATTTCCAAATTTCGCTAAAAAGTCTCCTCGTTATCAGCCCACCGACCTAGCGGCGCGCCCTATTTCCGAATTCCGAATATATACGGGATTTGGCCCAAAATTCTTCTATATATACAGATTTAGGTTTCTTTTTTTTTCTCTTCCAATCAACCCCTTTAGAATTTGTTGCCCTAATTTGTTTCCGACGGAGATGGATCAACAACAACACCAATATTTTCCGCAGCAATATACTCCGACGACGTCGCTGCCGCAGCAGCAATGGACGGCGGCGACGTCGTATCAACAACAGCAACAGCCACAGCAGCAGGTCCCGCAGATGTGGTACCAGCAGCAGCAGCAGCCGATGGCGGAGGCGGCTCCTCAGGATCCGGCGGCTCAGCCGTCTGGTGCTGGTAAACCCGCCACTTTGTGGATTGGGGATTTGCAGCCCTGGATGGACGAGAATTTCCTTGTCCAATATTTCTGTAATACAGGAGTTGTAAGCGCCAAGGTGATAAGAAACAAACAAACGGGTCTGCCGGAGGGCTATGGATTTCTCGAATTCCGGAGTCTCGCCGATGCCCAAAACGTTTTACCATTTAATGGCTCGGTGATACAGGGGACCCAACATCGCTTGCGGTTGAATTGGGTGTTCGATAAATCATCGTCGTCGTTGTCACCCGAATTCGCCATATTTGTTGGGGATTTGGCTCCTGATGTGACGGATTTCGTTCTGCTGGAGGCATTTAGACCTTTGTACCCTTCGGTGAAGGGTGCAAACGTTGTGTTCGATAAAATTACCGGACGATCCAAGGGCTATGGTTTTGTTAAGTTCGGGGACGAAAGCGAACAGAATCGTGCGTTGGTTGAGATGAACGGTGTTCTTTGCTCTACCAGGCCTATGAGAATTGGCCCGGCTACTAACAAAAAGGCGGTTGCGGTTCATCCATATCAGCAGCAGCAGCATCAGAAATCGCCTCAGGGCGAGAGCGATCCGAATAACACGACATTGTTTGTTGGTGGATTGGAGGATTTTGTGGCTGAAGAATACTTGAGGCAGTTGTTTGGGCAGTATGGTGAAGTGGCTCATGTGAAGTTGCTAGTAGGGAAGCGGTGCGGGTTTGTTCAGTTCACAAACAGGGCTCATGCAGAGCTAGCATTGGTCAGTTTGAATGGCTTCTATGTGGGAGCACAACCCATTCGGGTTTCTTGGGGACGTAGCCCTGCCAACAAGCAGTCCAACTTTGATGAGCACCAGCAGACCCAAGGCGCTGGTGGCCGTGGTGGATACTATGACCACACATCTATTCCGCTTGACCAATACCCAGCCCGATACTCAAGCGGAAACTGGGTCAGCTAGTTTAGAGTCAGGGGACAGGCACCTGCGGTCGCGTTTCTTACCGTTATTGTTTTTTTTTTTTTTTTAATTTAGTCTAGGAATTTGAGTTGTTAGGTAGAGATCATAGAATTTACTAATAGATGATGCTCATAAGAATTGTAATCACATATACATATATGATGATATATAGAAGTTTATGAGCTTTCATTATATAAATTTTTTGCTCTTTGTGATTGATCATTACTTGACTCCACCACTGGTGGCAACGAATGGTTTCTTTCTTTTCTTTTTCTTTTTTTTTTGAGAGTTTTTAATGATTTTATACGCATATTCATTTTTTGATATACTATTACAAGTACATCGATTATTATATAAGTAGTTCTTGGTAGTTCTTGGGAGAAACATCTGACTAGGTGGCTTTTTTAGAGAGTTCCTAATGATTTGGTGCACATATTCATTTTTTGATGCACTATTATAAGCACATCGATTATTACATGAGTAGCTCTTGGGGGAAACATCGACCATGAGTAGCTCTTGGAGAAAACATCGACTATTACTTAGATGGCTCTTAGGGGAAAGGGATAGTACTATATAAGAGGAACTCTACGCACGTCCATGCCTCGACCAATTTAATATTCAGTGAGCATAATGCTTCCAACTTTTTCCAAGAAAGGACCCAAAAAAAGAAAAAAAAAAAACTTTAATTTAAGACACTTAAAGACACCTTCTACGATTTACCAAAAAGTTAAAAATCCAAAAGCAAAGGTGCACAGTACATTGAAGACTAAATATATGTAACAAGAATTAGTTTTACGAAAAATCACAAATTGTTTTGCTCTTTCAACATCAAGTGAAATTTGAATCCAATCCGTATCCGCTCAATGAATTACTTGAACACAAGACACAAAGCACACAGATGAAAATCATACTAAAAGAAGATAAAAAACGAATACAAAGAAAAGAGATGACGTGGATCATTTTTTAAGATGGCGGGAAACTAACCGTATTTAATAAGTTTCATAAACACCCGCCACTCTTCTATTTTTCTTGCTTTCTTTAATTATTCTGTTGAACTTTCTTCGACTTAGGGTTTCTCTTTCTACTTCTTCTCTCTTAAACCCCCCTTCAACAATATGACAATGTTCTCCTGAAATCTTCCAATTTTTTTGTTTCAAAATAACCGTTAATGATTCGAATTCCTTTTCTCAGAGCCCCAATTTTCAATATTTAGGTTCTCGCTTGTAGGTCCGGATTTGAAATTACCTAAAAATATGGGTGTGAACAAAGTCACTGATGAATTGGTTTCAATGGTTCGATCAATCGTCGGGTCGGAATATTCGGACATGGATGTAATTCGGGCCCTTCACATGGCCAAGAACGATCCCACGGCCGCAATCAACATCATTTTTGACACACCCACTTTCAGAAAGCTTGAAATTCCCAAGAATCCGGAGCCGGTGAACCGGAATTCTAATCCGGTGTCGCAAAATCCCGTGTTGAATTCGAAAGAAAGCGGTAACGATGAGAAAGATAGCCGGAGTTTGACTCCTAGCTCAAACGGGTCCGTAAAATGTAGAGAAATCAAGGAAAGCGATAAAGAAGGAAAGAAGGCAGATGCAAGGGATCTGAGTTCGAGTGGTTGCTCAAGTTCGAGCTCCCTGGGCAGTGAGTGGTGGTTTGTTGGGCGTGCTGAGGTTGCGGGGTTATCTACTTGTAAAGGGAGGAGTTTGAAGCCTGGTGAGGAAGTGCTTTTCACAATTCCGGTAGAGAGGAAATTGAGTTCCCCCTCGTCGGGAAAGTTCGGGGGCGGTCGAGGTCGACAGATATCTGTTTGTTCAGAGATTGTCAGATTTTCCACCAGAGCTTCTGGAGAGGTTGGTGATCTTAAATTCTGTTGGTCATTGTATCGATAGCTCATATCCAAGTTTGTTAGTTTTCTATGATAATTGTGTGCGTAATTGGAACTATTCGGAGTATTTACGAGAATTATAACATAAATATGCTTCTTTCGTAAAGCCAAAATCTGATTAGGTATTCTTTCTAAGACTGATTTAAAAAGGAGTAAAAAGAAAGGAAGAAGCGAAACAAATCAAAGGTACTTGCTAAGAAGGCTTTGAAAATGGCAATTTGAAATAACAATCAGGGTTTATGATTGTAACATGTCAAGGTTCAATTGTGTCTGATGAATCTTGAGTGTTCATGTGAATAATATTGTTGCAGATAGGCCGTATTCCCAATGAATGGGCTCGATGCTTATTGCCACTTGTGAGGGACAAAAAGGTCCGGATAGAGGGTTATTGTAATTCTGCTCCTCCTGTTCTGGGAATCATGGACACAATTAACTTGTCAGTCAGGTACTTGTCTGATTATTGCATTACCCTATATAGTTAGCATGTTATTGTGGAAAAGCGGGCTTCATGTGTTTATGTTTTCTCATTTGCAATATGGCCAGTGTGCATATGAACAGTGCTATGTTCCAGAAGAGTCATCAATCTTCACTTAAAGTGGCATCTGGTGATGAGTCTGTTATTCATCCCCTTCCTACTCTTTTCCAGTTACTCGGCCTTTCTCCGTTTAAGCGAGTAAGTGTTTCTTCTTTTATCATGTTTAAGGACTTTGAGTAAGGCCAGTCGCTTGCTTCTTTGTTACCCCAAATATCTGTTAGAGATATGATTATTTTCTGAGCTGTGATATTGTTTAAATATTTTAGGCCCAATTCTCTCCAGGGGATTTGTACACAAGGAAACGTCCCTTGAATCTAGAGGTACATTTTACTGGCTGTTGAATTTCTGCTGTAATGAATTTAAGTGCCATGTTTGTATCGAGAGGTACATTTAAAATTCACTGGCTAATGGATTTTGCCTGAAGTGAAATTAAGCGCTGTGTTTTTGTCTGGACAGGACTCTGATCCTCCTACATCACTGTTGCAAGGCACCAAGTTCAAGTGTTCTTTGGCTTTGGATGAAAATAAAGTCGAAACTGAGGAGACAATCTCTGATAATGATCTGGACAAAATAGTTGGTGTAGAAAATAGTTCTGAGTTAGAGGTATGCTCTCTCTTCCCCCTCCACCCCCAAAAAAAAAAATTTCTGGACATGCTTCTTAATTTGATGTTCTTTTACAGGAAATGGAACCGCCTAGTTCTCTTCTCTGTGAACTTCGTCCATACCAGAAACAGGCTCTGCATTGGATGATTCAACTTGAGAGGGAAGACTGCATGGACGAAGCGGCATCAACACTGCACCCATGTTGGGATGCCTACAGGCTTGCTGACGAGTAAGTTAAAGAGGATCAGGTTCTATCTGATTTGAGTGCTTCAATTCTTTAGTTGTTTGACTCATCACTGTGTGTATTTATTGCTAGGAGGGGGCTTGTTATTTACTTGAATGCTTTCTCTGGTGATGCAACTGTAGAATTTCCAAGTACTCTTCAAATGGCCAGAGGAGGAGTATGATTCTTGTTCTTTTTAAGCATACTTGCTGTTTCTTTACGATAATGTTTTTAGTTCTGAGTCAAGGAAATTTTGAAGATCTTGGCAGATGCTATGGGGCTTGGAAAAACTATAATGACCATATCCCTTCTTCTTACACATTCTGAGAGAGGTGGCTCATCAGGTTCCCAGCATACAAGCCAGATTTTGACTAGAAATGGTGAAGCTGTCATGATTCCAGAACAATCTCCTACTCCAAAGAAGGCAGGGAAATTTTCTGGTTTTGACAAGCTTTTGAAGCGCTCAAACTCGCTGACAAGCGGGGGGAATCTGATCGTATGTCCAATGACACTTATAGGTCAGTGGAAGGTACGTGTATCACATTTAATACTTGACGAGTTCTTCTGAAATGAAGACGTCATTTAGCCATCGGCCCTTGTGCCTTTGCTTGGTTCTATAGCACCATTCTAAGGTTGAATGTTATGTTGTTTACAGGCAGAGATTGAAGCCCATGCACAACCTGGGAGTTTGTCAGTTTATGTCCATTACGGGCAGAGCAGATCCAGGGATGCAATTGTTCTTGGACAAAGTGATGTTGTGCTCACAACTTATGGAGTTCTTGCCTCAGAATTCTCAACCGAGGTACCAATAGTCATTCTTTACGTGATATAATGATAGAAATTCCTTCTGTTGTTTTGGGTCATTGGTACTATTGATGAGTACCAGAACCTTCAACCTGAGGAATTCTCCTTTCACACACCTAATTTGTATTGTCCTGCATTTCTATAGTTAGGGCATGATCTGTGGTTTTTAAATTGAAGTATATAACAGGCCAATGTACATCTAATCTTCTTGTTTCATTGCTTGATTACTATGTCTTGTAGAATGCTGAGACCAATGGGGGACTGTTCTCGGTGAGATGGTTTAGAGTGGTGCTAGATGAAGCACATACAATAAAATCTTCAAAAAGCCAAATTTCCAGTGCTGCGACTGCACTTGTTGCTGATCGTCGATGGTGCCTTACTGGAACACCCATTCAGGTATATTTGATGATCTCAAGCCTGACAAAGAGACTTCTGTGCTTAAGTGAATCAATGCATACAAATGAGAATGAATACTCTGAGCCAACTGTTTGGTTATTGATACACGTGGAAGTTCTTTTTCAATGTAATAAAGTGGAAAATGCAGCATGTCTCTGAGTGCAAATCTCTTTACAAGTGAAACAAAATTATTTTCCCTATATTCTAAGAGTAGAATTTTTTATTTTTTATTTTATTTTATTTTATTTTTTTGTAAAAGAAGATTACCTGTTTCTATTTTTGTTTCTAACAGAACAACCTGGAAGATCTTTACAGCCTTCTTAGGTTTTTGAGGGTTGAACCATGGGCAAGCTGGGCATGGTAAATCTCGTTTTTAGTTCTTTTTAGTTTCTTCGGTGCTTTGATTTCACCTCCAATATTGTATTTATTGCTCAATTAGCTATTGTCGATCTGAATATGCTTAGAGATGGGACATTTGTGTTATTTATTAATTTAGATATTATTTTGAGCATCTTGACTATTGTTTCTGTATCTTACTCTTTTTTTGATCATACATTTTGCCATTCTTCACCCATCTTGTTTGCTTAGGTGGAACAAACTTGTTCAGAAACCTTTCGAGGAGGGTGATGAGAGGGGATTGAAGTTGGTTCAATCAATTCTGAAGCCGATCATGTTAAGACGAACCAAGTCTAGCACTGACAAGGAAGGGAGGTGGGATATTGAAGTCCCGCCTTTTTAAAAAAGCTTTCACCATTTTATTTATATTACTTGAATCTGTTTCATATCTTGTTGTTCAGGCCTATAATAGTGCTTCCACCTGCGGATATTCAAGTGATGTATTGTGAACTTACAGAAGCTGAAAGAGACTTTTACGACGCTTTGTTCAAAAGATCGAAGGTAACCAATTTAAAGTTGGGCGTGCTTGCTCTTTAAATTTATTCCCTTTCTGTTATAGAGTTTTGATTTCTATGTCTTTAAAGTTGGGCGTTCTTGCTATTTAATTTTACTCCCTTTCTGTAATAGAGTTTTGATTTCTATATCTGCAGGTTAAGTTTGATCAATTTGTTGAGCAAGGCCGTGTTCTTCATAACTATGCTTCTATATTGGAATTGCTCTTGCGGCTTCGTCAATGTTGTGATCATCCATTTCTGGTCATGAGGTTGGATCCATCTTCAGATCATTGTTTGGTCCACTGTCTCTACTTTTGTTACTGTGTAACACATCAGTGAATCAATGTCATGCAAAGGAACCCCAGGAACCCCACCCCCCACAACCAAAAAAAAAAGTCAAAGAAAATAAAAAAGGAAAAACAGCAAAACACCCCTGAAAAGGGGAAAATGGAATAAGAACGATGTCCTAGAAAAACAGGGAAGGAACTTTTGTTTATGAAGGTGGAATTTTTGTGCTGTGAATTGTCTGCCACTTGGGTTAGATTACTGCACATGGATTTTCTTGAAGTTCTACAAAAATTATCTTCTTCGAAAACGAAGTAAAAAGAGAACAGGAGTTTGATCTTATTGTTGCAATTTTGCTAGCTTATAATGGCTGAAGTTAAATAATACTCGTATGATTATTTTTAATTTTGCAATTTCTGAGATATGCCATTGTCATTTTTATGAAATAGATGAACTTGGCATGTGCTCTTATGTGACCTCAACCGCGCATGCAAAGAATATATTTTTCTTTTCTTTTCTTTAATTAGTTTTTTTAATTTTGTCCCCTTGATGGATTTTGTGCATCCAGTCGAGGTGATACTCAGGAGTTCTCTGATCTAAATAAGCTTGCTAGACGTTTCCTAAAAGGCGGGAAGGAAATTGCCGAAGGGCAGACCAGAGATGTGCCTTCACGGGCTTATATTCAGGAAGTAGTGGAAGAGTTACAGAAGGGGGAAGGAGGAGAATGTCCAATATGCCTTGAAGCATTTGAAGATGCTGTATTGACACCTTGTGCTCATCGCTTATGCAGAGAATGCCTTTTGGCAAGTTGGCGAAGCTCTGTGTCTGGTTTGTGCCCTGTTTGTAGGTATCATCATAATAATTTTTCCATTTACATCTGTGTATATTTAAATTGGAAATGTGTTCGGTACTTTCTGCTTGACTTACAACTGAGTACTCATTCTTTGTGGACTCCGCTCTTCTCAGGAACACGGTATCTAAGCAGGAATTAATCACAGCTCCTACCCATAGTCGTTTTCGGGTTGACATTGATCGCAATTGGGTGGAATCATCAAAGGTCTCTGCTCTTTTGCGTGAGCTTGAAATTCTTCGACTAGCAGGCTCCAAAAGCATTGTTTTCAGTCAGTGGACTGCCTTCTTGGATCTTCTGCAGATTCCTTTATCACGGTAAACTTTTCTGACAGTTTTACTGTTGTATACACGATATGTAAATATGCATTGTATGCTCTTGTTGCTTATCTTACCAGAGAAAAGCATGGTAATCACATAATTCATCCAAGCTTCTGAATTTCTCTTGGCCTTTCATAAGCCTGCAAAAAACTGGGATTGTAGTTTAGTAGTTTAGTATAAAGCTTCTGATTATTCTGGGCTTTTCTGCATCATCCTAGATGAGTTGGGTGAATAATTGAAGTTGTATAAATTCCTGGTACTAAAAGGTTTAATTGCTCCAATATTGGATTTGTGGTAATGGACTATTAAATGCTTGATTTGCATGGTAGAGGATGATGGTGGATAAACATTTGATCTTCTGGTTTTTTGATTATTCATTCACATTGTAGTTTTTACAATTTTTCTGTTGATTGGTTCAGTGTGTCGACACGAATGTGATGTTGAAATATGATTCATGTGGCTAACCACAAATAGTATACGATAAAGACTTGCTGTTGTTGTAATCTCTCTTTTGTTGATACATTCTCTGAGTTTCCTTCTAACTTTTATCTTATCCTTTGTTTTGCCTTTAAACTTTTTCTTGTTAATGAAAATAATATAATTTAGCATCTCACATGTTTCAGGAGTAATATCTCATTCCTCCGTCTAGATGGAACCCTTAACCAGCAACAGCGAGAGAAAGTTATAAAGCAATTTTCTGAAGAAGATGGCATCTTGGTATGTCTTCCTAGTTCTTTGGGTGATAAGAAGCAGCATAAGTTGACCTTTCTAGGCTCACTTCTTTTTATTTATGCATTAAACAGGTGTTGTTGATGTCTTTGAAGGCTGGGGGAGTTGGGATCAACTTAACTGCTGCATCCAATGCTTTTTTGATGGTATGTAACTTGTTCTTATTGTAGTATGCTTAACAAACTCATGTCATGTGCATGATGGGTAGAGCATGGATTTGATCACTGTAAAGAAGTATAGATGAGATCAGCTGGAACTCTGATACATTCATACTTCAGTTTGTGTGTGCTTACTATTATTGTACGAGTAAGATTTTGAGGTTTCATTTAATGAGCTGAGTTTTTCATAAATGGGCTAATCTTGGTAGTGCAATTTACTTTGGTTTCTTCATATTTTGTTTTCCTTCAGTTGTCAAGCTGAACTGGCTAATATTGGTTGGCTGAATTGGCTTGTGTAGGATCCTTGGTGGAATCCAGCAGTTGAAGAACAGGCTGTCATGCGTATTCATCGCATTGGGCAAACAAAAAATGTGATGATCAAAAGGTTTATTGTGAAGGTAAATTTTTTAAACAGTTGTGTTGCTAGCTAGCCCTCTTTTCAATATTGGCTGCATTCAATGTGGGTTTTTTAACAGGCATGAAGCTGGTGCTTTAATTTCTCTTCTTTTTTTTTTTTTTGTATATTATTATCATTTATTTGTAATAAGTATCTTTACATCTTCACAGATGCTGGAACTTACATGTAAGTTTTTGTGGCAGGGAACTGTAGAGGAAAGAATGGAAGCCGTGCAAGTGCGTAAGCAAAGGATGATATCTGGTGCTTTGACCGACCAAGAAGTCCGATCAGCACGCATTGAAGAACTTAAGATGCTTTTCACTTGAACCAGTGATTATCACACTGTTGGATCATCTGGTAAATATTTTACCTCCAGCTTGAGACCAGGGTTTGTGAAGGATATAAGAAGGATCCCCAATTATTTTCTTCTATCCGATAATTCAAGCCCATGTTATCCAAAGACCGGAAAAGTGTTTTGCCATTAGTTGAACAACTATCACAACGTCTGCTGTTGTGGTTCGAGGGGAAAGTCTTGGACAAGCATCAGTTGATAGAATCAGAACGTCTGCAACATAATCCAGTGGGCACACCGGCTTGAGGATTTTCTACTTCATTATCCATTCCCTTAACTATATGCCCTGGGAGATAGAATTCTCTGCAAGCCCCTTCTAAAGCTCACATTGGTCAGCCTTGCAGTTATTGGGACTTGGCTGAAGCAGAGGGGGGTGCTAGTAACATTTTATTGGAGCAGATTCTTCTACCGTAATCCTTGAAAAGACTGTATTTGTGTTTGTTAAATTGAGATTCATATAGTGACAGGGCTAAATACTTAAATGCCTGAAGTTGGAGTTTCTGTATAGCATTTAACTTCAGAATACCACCATGTAGCAAAAACAGTATGCCGAATTAGTGATTTACCTCACAGACAGCCCAGATATATAGAAGTAAATGCTATAGTACTTTGATTTTAACTTGTTGCTGGACTTCTTTTTCTTATAGCAGTAGTTCTATTATGTTTCTTTGCCTTAAATCTTTGCAACCGGATCGACTGCAGCAGATCAAGGTTTCGACCAGGTAGCTGACTATCTTCAAGCTCTTCTTCAAGCATGGGCGTCACGGTGATCTAAAAGAACGGTGATCTAAAAGGTTCTTTTAGGACTTTCCTCTCTCAGCTCTAGAGACTTGTAATGACACATGAGTTCAGAAAACATTGGACACCGTTTAGGTTAGGACTGCAAGCAAAAGCGACGACAAAGATGTATATCTGTATGAACATCTTGGTTCAAAATAGTTCCAGAAATTGATAGTCGTACATAACTACATATACTAGTTTAGTTTGGTAAGCAACTGAAATGCATAATCAAAGTAGAGAGCAAGTGTGAAATCACACAAGCTGAAAAACTAAGAAAAGCGATCTAGCGAGACCGATTGCATTTTTATTTTAATGTCATTCCTTTGCTTTACAGTACTAATATTATTATTTTCTTGAGACGGGGAGAGTGTTATAATATGTTGTCAATTGACGCTGGCTATGTCTATCAATCAATTTCACTCGACAGATCCATTACAGGACAGCTAAGCTTAAATCACGCCTTTACGGGTAAAGGTTAAGTAAACAAAAAGCGTGATTTGGGCCTCTGCTTTTTCCCCGCGCCTTCAAGAAAATTGGTCCCAGTACCTAACCATACCATTTGCCGAAATCCCCCGGCGGCAGAAACGCAACTCCTAAACATTGGAAGCCGGCGAGTGGCGGAAGGGGGCGAAAAATGAGCTCATTGAAGGAGGAGGAGGAATCCGCCACCCCATCGCGCCGGAAAGTATCTTGCACCGTTTACTTCGATGCTCTCTGGTTCTGCTACTGTACGCCTTTTCCTCGCTCCTTCTCATTGCACTGTTTTGATGCTTGTTTTTGTTTCAGCTGTCTTTCATTTTTTTTTTTTACTAATAAGCTTGTCTCTGAATTTGATTGCTATTTTATGTGATTGTTTAAATCACCCAAGTTCCAATTGGGTTTTCATAAATACAGAATTCAACTAGTTTGCCCTAGTTCTAGCCGATCCTTGTTCTGAGGAAACGCCAAAATATAATGGAACTTTGTATGATTGTTTTACTGTTGCAGCTCCTGAATTGGGAACTTGTTAACTTCTTACAGAGAACTTTTGGAGATTTGATTGGTGGAAGAATGAGAGTGTTAGATGTTATCAATTGTTGCAATAGCATGATACTCGTTGAAATGAGGCACCATGCTTGTTGTTGGTTCGTTTGCTCAAATGCACAATTTTTGTAGCCTTTGTTTGAGATTTGAGACTGATGGGTAATTTCTTTTGGCAGCTCCGGTTCATCAGATGCAAAATTATTATCGCCTTGGTTACCTCGACAATTGTTCCAAGAAGTGGACTGCTCTGTTTGATTGCTTAAACTTGAAAACAAAGCGAACTTCTGAGGCGGAGGTATGTCCATTCGCTTATTTCCTTTCCAAAGTGCTTGTTTTAATGTTATGCTTCTCTTTGTGTTTGAAGGAGGAACAAAAGCATTATGGTTTTATTGTTGCTCCGCTTGTTGTATTTACTGTGTGGAAACCATTAGAAATTTCCATTCACGTTTCGTAGAAGTCCTCCGTTCAAAATTTTTTCTTTTGCATAATAGATCAAGCTACAATCGCGGCTCCAGGAAGTTTTCCCATTGCGTAAAAGCATATCCGTAAGAACTAAATTTTTTCTGGAATATAAACTAAGATGAACCAGCATTAAATAGTAAAGTGTTGTTGTATAGCTGTTGCAGTTTCTAAATCGTGCTTGTAGCGAGATTGCCAATTTCTGAACTGCACATGTAACTTGGCAGTTTTCCTGTGTCTTTGTGGTAGTTGTGAACTGATATGTGAATAGGTAGAACATCTATGGTGTATATAGTCAGTAGCTGATTCTTTGAAATGAGTCCTTGCGGTAGAATTTCTTAAATCGCTATCTTATAACCAACGAGGTTAGCATTCTGTTCAGTGCCGTTGTATTACAGTTCTTTTGGGAAATGCTTCAATGAGCAGTGACCACTCGCTGATGAGATCTGCCATTAGTTTGACTGTTTTAGTATTCTTCTGGTTTTAGCACTGTTGATAATTGTGCCAACTACTTGGAGCAACTTGTTCTTACTGATGACTATAGTATCAGGATTTCTCCATTTAGTTCCTGTTGAGACCTGCTATCATTGCATCTTGTTCCTTCTTCTTATTCTTGTATGTTATCTGCAAAATTTAATTTACTTCTCGGCTATTTGATAAGCCATGGATTAAGTTAGTCATCTGCACAAAGTATGTTAGTTCTGAGTATCTGCAAAAAATGTTCTGACGTTATTTAGTGTTTTTTTTTAATTTTTTTTAAGAAGTTATTTAGTTGAACCATGAAGAGATGAAGATTTTTGGTGGGTATTATGCAATGCTTGCCTCTACGGAAAGCTGGAGTGGCTTTGCCTTGTCCATAGGATCTTTTGTTCTTAGTCTTGCGATTTGTGACCATAAATTTAACATGGTTTCTTATTAGCAGAAAACATGAGAAATCTATTGTGGGCTGTTTCGTGCTATTTAAGAAGCTTATTGATTGATCTTCAAAATGCAGGAAATTCTAGAAAACCGCGAGAAATCCATCCCTCATATATGGTCATATCGGACACCTGAAGAAGCCGCAGCTCATTGGAGAGAACAGTTCGGACATTTGGATGAAGCTGAATAAACATTTTCTCTAGCTATAGTTCTTGATTCGTTCCTTTTTATTCTTCTTTTCAGAAAGAGTTCTACCTCATAATTTCATAAACTTCCATGAATCGGAAATTTTGTAATTACTATAATGGTGCAATAGTTGACATATGATGTGCAAGAATAATTTTGTCAACTTTTTGTATTTGAGGCTTCTATTACTTTCAATTGCAAAAAAAGACAGCAGTACATTTCGAACTGGGAAGGAGAATATTTGTGTGGAAGCTTAATCTAGACATTGGCAAATAACCGATAGTTTTTAGCATCAAGACTAATTTGTCTTACTGCAGCAACTGCTGCAATTACTCCCAAGGTCCCAAAAACCACAGCAATGGTGACATTTATCCAGAAAATGGCACTTTTCTTCGGTGGCTTGAATGTCAGATTGTAGAAAACAACAGGGAGCACAAAGTCTAATGGCATGAAACCAAAAGCTCCGATCAAACCATTGATGTCCCCAAAAAATGGAAGCATTGCTGCTATGGTAGTTGCTATGACAACTGATACCGTTCGAGATATCAACCTCGGAACAACGTTTCTAGCTGAGAACTCACCGCTCCTTGCATCTGCAAATGTTCTTTCCAGCACTTCATTTGTTGGCTGCAAGTAAACCTGTGACCAAAAACAATCCGTTCGGAATGTCAAACATAAAGGTTGTCTGTCCTCATGGGTACTAATACTTCTAGCAAATTCGTACTGTGACATGACTAGAGAAACAATGTTGAAAAACTCCTGTTCTTACCACTGCAACGGCTGATAGTTGGAGGATGGTGAAGATATTGGTCATCAAAATGAACCACTTGGGAACTAAAGCTTCTCCATTGTCCAAGAAATTGCTGAGAACAAGGCCATCAGCTTGGTTGCCAAACGCCCAGTAGCCAGAAATGGCTACACTAAAGAAGGTAACAGTGACTACACTATAACAAACACATAGTCCCTTGAACATCTTTCCTGTCACCGGGGGTGCTAATGTGGCCTGTAATCATCAGATTGACAAATAATTTTTATCTAGAGCCGATATCTAATGTCAATGTTCTAAAATTCATGGTAAATTTAAGCAACCTGAATTTCTGGGATGATTCCATTTCCATAAGTGGTGGCAATGATGGCCAGTGAATTGAATAGGCTGAAAACTCGAGTTTGTGTATCGTCACTCAATGAGTAATCCTTGGTTGGACCCTTTGATGAATTTCCTGTGAAAACAACAACGTCGTTTCGCTAAGGACAGGATTGATATAAGCGTAACATAACCCTTCACTCATGAATGTCAGACGTACCAATGTAGATAGAACCGGCTGTGGCGCAAACACTGTAAGCGAGACAGAGCGCCAAAGACACCAAATTGATATGCCTTAGTGAATGAAAAGATGGCATTTGAGCTAAGATCAACATCAAGCATCCAAACATGATCACAAATTCGTAGAGCTTAATCTTCCCATCAGGATTTGACAGCAAATACATTGCCTGCAATATGAAGTTAATTTTTCTGTAAAGAATTTCAGTGATTTAGTTCAAAGCATGTGCTTTCCTCCGTCCCAAAATGATTTTCCTGTTAATGTTCTATTTTAGTACATCAAACAGGATAATCATATTGCGATACAGGGAGTGTATAGTATATAGTTTTAAGGAGCTGACCTTGATGCATTGCCCTCCTAAAAGAGTACAAGCTACGACGGCACCATAGCATACCATGAACTGAATGGGTCCAACATAAAACCTCCCCCATTTTCTCCCTGTCAAAATCAGATTTAATTTGCATGGTTACATACTAATAGGGACTTCTCTGAACTCGGGGTTGCTATTGTAATTATTACGAGGTCGGGTAAAATTTAGTTTGGGCAGGAGACAACTCATTTTGATCTAAACTCACTTATTGGAGTTAAGACTTGTAACGCAATACTCATTCAGATTTCACGAGAACTCAAGGGCTAAATTACTTTATACTCGCTTCGTTATCTAAAAGTAGTTTACATTGTAAATTATTTGTTTTCAGTACAAATTATAATTTATATTATGGACTACGTTTGTAGGACAAAGGAGTGGCATTACAGTGACATGACACTACAGTTGGTTGGGAAAATTCTTTAATTATCATTTATTGAGCTTCTGATTAAGGGTTTGTTGTGAATCACCATCACATTAAATTAATACGGCCCGAGAAATTGATAGGCAAATGCAATCTGCAGAGAAATTTTTGTTGGAAAAAAAAAGAAGAAAAAGGAATATGATGAAGAATATATAAATATAAATTAGTTGGAACTAGTAATTATTTGTTTGGAAATTGATATTTTATCTCCCATTGTTGGCCCTCTTGCTTGAAGATTTGATTTGATTATTTATTTATTTGGTTTGTTCGTATAACAATCAATATGTACAAATTTAGTGAAAATGAATTTGATGACATGTTAGATCATCAAGTTTTGTAGCTTTTTTAAGCATCCAGACACCTTTAATTTGAGATGACAGAAGAAAAGATGTTTTCTTTTTTTTTTTCTGCTAAAATTAGCACATATAAAGGTAGAATTACAAGTCAAAGACGTACGCCAATTGAGTTCATGAGTCTTTGACTTCCCAAAATGGTGGTGGTTTTCCAACTCTACTTCCCACCAAAATCATTGGTAGATATTTTGTTTATCTAATTTGATCCTACAAATGTTGAGGATTGATCTAGTATGAACTATGAAGAAGAGAAGATCATCTTAATTTCATCTTCTTTTTAATGTGATCTTTTTCAAAAAAAAAAAAAAAAAAACTCCTAACACATTATCAAACTTCAATAATCATTATTCTGATTGGACCAATAAACCCTTGGTTATTGTTTTTAATAACATCTACCCTCTAATGGAAACCGGTCTAAAATAAGATATTCATTTGTGCTACAATTCAATGCCTCCTGTCTTATATTTCACCGATAACATTATTTTTTACTCCCTCTGTCCCAAAATAATTGTCCAGTTTGAGATTTCACTTTTAGTACAATTTGAACTAAAAATAAAAACTCAAACTGAACAATAATTACGGGACGGAGGGAGTATTAATTTACGAATCTTTGAACATAATAATTCGATTGTCTCTTAAATGATACGAAAATTAAAGTTGGAAGAGAAACATGAAAGTACTCCATCACCAAGTAAAATGTGAACTCAACAAGAACAGAAATGAATAATTGGGAAGATCCATATTACTAAATGTTACCTAGAATGTCGTCGGCCATGTCCCGGAAGCGGAGATGGCGGCGGCCCAATTTAGCATGGTGTTCGAGGACGAGAGAGATCAAGTTGTAGGAGTAAAATGTGACGGCAGCTCCGACCACAAGGCTGATCACTCCGGCGGCCCATCCCAGCGATGCAAAAGCAAATGGAAGGCTCAAAAGTGGCGGCGCCACTATTGACGTTGTCAAGTGGTATCCACAATGCACCCATGATCCTTCAAAATTTTGTGGGAAGAAAGTAATTAAGTAATTCTATTTCAAAATTATAGAGCCCCAATGTACAAAAAAACTATTTAAAAATTCTTTTAAAACAACAGATTAAAAAAAATTATATTATGTACTAGTACATTTTAACATTTGTGCTGCCCAATTAATTGTATCCATTTATAAGTAATTAATATTGTGAACTTTTGTGTTTATATATATATATATATATATATATATATATATGGCAAAAAAAGGACAAGAATAAATGCACGTGTTGCAAAATTAGGCAATTCCATGACGTGCTTCATTACTTCGAGAAATGGAGATAGGTGTAAACATTTGACCGCCTCCCCAATCACAGTACCAGAAGTTTTCAGAGGAATCCGATGAATGGTAATGAATCATCATCAGGTTAATTAATCTTCTTCGTCATGGACATATCAGAACAAATTACTTACTTTCTCGTCTCAAAACGATTGTTCTAGTTCGCAAGTTATAATGTTATATCTTCACCTAATGTAAAAATTCAATGTAAAATGTAACAAATTCCCTACAACCTCTACATCATGGAGCTGGCTACATAGCTATAGATTCCTCTTAGATAATCCGATGAAGTGATCAGGATCGAACCCGGAAGAATACGTTTTGAAAACAGTGAAAAGTAAACTGTTAGTTTAAATGAGTTGACATGAAATACCTTTGGACTTGAGAACAAAGAGAGCTCCAGCATCAAGCTCCTGCGTTGGAGATGAATATTCATGATCACCATTTTGATGGTTAATTACACCTTCTTCCCTTGTAGTAGTTGTTGCCTCTGTTCTTGCAGCTCCGGAGCTTGGAAGAACAGCAACCATCTTGTTCACAAATATTAATATATCTGTTGATGAACAACTAGCTAATTTCTTCTAGCTAGCTAGTTGGGTTAATGAAGAAGAAGAAGAAAGTATTATTATTTGATTGAGAGTAGTGGACAAGATGAAGGGAAGAGGAGGAAGTTGAGGCTATAAATGAGGAATGCTCATGTAGTTTAAAAGTCTTGTGGAATTGTGGATGTTTACAATTTATGGTTGAGTCATGGGGTGTGAAAATGAAATGCACCAATCCAAGTTAATTAATTAATGATGTGTAGGTACTACTGCTGAAAGAAAATGTTTTACTTGAGGTTGTTCATGATTTTCAGGAGGTGAATTTTGATACTGTTTTTTTAGTTGGTGTCATCAACAACGTATGGTTCTAGTAAATTAGTTACAATAGTAGAGCTTTCGCCATCGAAGATTAAAACATGACTAGAATATGATGCAGTAACGCATACACATATTCTTGTGATGTTGTAATATACTTGTCAAATACAGTATTAGTATATTTATATATTATATTATCTTATTAAAAATATCTTGCCACAATTATATTAGCCCCTCATAATGTTGGATTAAAACTGTAATTATTGTCCGTATTAAAATTAATTGGAGAAACTCATGCATTGATGGCTCATTGGCGGGGATATATGATGAAATAGTTCCACCTACCGACATAAGTGTCATGTTTATTGTATTATTATTTTAGTTCAACGATTAAATTTTTCTGAACAATAAGATTATTAGTTTTCAAAACATATTAAAAGTTGTATTACAAATGTAAAAGATGCTTTAAAATACTAAAGTATTGATTAGGGAATCAACAAAGGACATTTCTTCAATTCTGATAAAAAGCTCAACAGTTATCAATACAAATTTGAAAACTCAATATTATGTACTCAACGTGTATAATCAATACAAACCCAGTTAACGTAGAATGTATACTTCATCAAATCTGTTTTATTACACAAAACAAAAAGTGAAACACGTAGGGGCTCTTTAGATATTTTTTTGAGGATAGGAAATAGGAATAATTCCCAATTGTTTGCTAATTAGTCAATAAGTGCCAATTTATTAGTCAATCGTCTTGAAATTAACTGACATTTTTCAGTAATATAAAATTCAAGGACTAAACCAATGACCACCAAAGGTAAAAGTAATGTCACTTTCACAAAAGATTTTGCCCCTTTCTTACTTACTCGTATTCTTTCTATCCATGCATGCACATACGGTTCTATCCCGCATTATGTTAGTTCCCACACTTGCAATGTGTATGTTTCAACAAAGGAAAGAAACATATCCGGTTAAAAAAATTACAGTATGAATCTTGTAAAGAGAGGAGAAGTAGTGTATTTATACTAATAAGAATTTTATGGTTTTTAAAGACCGGAACTTCACAATTTGAGTTGGACTTTTGCGATACATTTAGTTAGATTCATTTTCTGGGCCTAACCAAGAAATTAAGTGGGGGAGGTATGTTACCGAGGTAATTAGGATACCCGGGAATCGATTTGTGTACCTATTGAGTTTGCTGCCTGGCAGGGCAGGAGGGACGGGTTAGCGTCAAGGAAAAGTTGTCGGCTTAGCGGCTGGTCCATGCGATAGGACCCGAGGAACCCGTAACACCTGGCGGGGATGGTCATGTAGGACTAGCGCGCGAATAAGCACACAACTGGTTGGGGGCTTATGTCGCTCCCCTGATGATCCCGGAGCAGAGCGAAACCAGTAGGCTACGCGGGTGTAGGCTGAACCCCTAAGGGAAACTGGGAGACCCTGAGAATGCCGCACGGGCGACTGCGAGAGCTGTCGGGCGAGCCCGTGACAAGTGGAATTTAGTTCCCAGTCATATGGTGGTGGTAGATGGACACGGACCATTAACGATTATTCTAAATTGTGATATTTTTTGGGGTCAAATGTAAAAAATTTTATCGATCACCTTCACTTTACATCACCACTTTTGTCACCTTTCATCTTTACAGTGATTTGCTGTCTAAACCATTACCCCCAACTGCTTTACAAAGTCTAATTCTCTTCTAGACAGTTTCATGTTACTATAGTCAATTCTACACACTAGCTCTTGTTTCAGCAACCTTTCTCTAATCACTATCGTCTCCTCTTGGTTTGCAAATCTTCTGTTATTCCTTTCTCTCCATATTGAATATATCAATCCATTTAAACAGGCCAACAGAATGCGTTGCTTGATTCTGGAGTATTTCCAGATTCTAATGTCTCTACCTGCATTCAGTACCTTCAGATCAGTCAGCATCCCTAGCCATGTTTTGATCTCCTTCCACATTTCCTATGAGCAACTACAGTGGAAGAACAAATGCTTTCCTGCTTCTTTCTCTTTTCTACATAACACACAAGTATCATCAGCAGTCTGTCAATAGTGAGCATCCTTTTTTAAATTGTGATACTTAATATATTAATCTGTATTATAAAATGGTTGGATCTTTGTTATTCTGGTATCATAGAGCAGAGAAAATTAAAACCCCAATCAAAAGAATTTGAGTAAAAAGAACTTCGTCAACTTTTTCGTCGAAAAAAATAGGTCGACGAATAAGTCGACGACAGTATTGCCAATTTTTAGTATTTTCCTCTTTTGGGTCTGATTTTATTTTTGGTAATTTTCTTTGAGAAATTTCGTCTCCTAACAGGAGACTTAGAAGAATATTTTTAATTTTATTAAATAATTTTCATATTAACATTATTTATTTTTATGTAATTTTTGCTTTTAAAAAACTAATAGTCGATTTACAATATGTAACTTGGAGAGAAACTCTCATCGAAAGGCAGTTTTGGCCGCCCTTTTTACCTCATAAGTTGGAGTCGTATACGTTCTTGTGAATTCCCCTTCATGATTAACAAATAAAGCAGAATTTACAACAATAGATTAGGCAAGCTCTCAATGTCAAGATTGAATGAAATTCTTGTATTAGCCATCATTTCGACAGTGCATCGGCCGATTCAAGACTTTGGTTGGATTGATGTTTGCTTCATACTCCGTCTTCTTCTTGTAATATTGTACTCGGAACATTGGCGTATCAGAACTAAGGATGATAAAATGTGTGTACATTTGTTGCTCATAATTTAATGAGCGGAATAGTCACAATTACTACTGACAAGTGACGACATTACAAAAAATCCTTAGTAAAAAAGAACTAATAAAAATGGTAATATGAAGAGGATTGACGGGGCTGAGATGGGCCTGTATAAAAAGATTAGGGGGAAAAAAAAAGTATAGTTTAAGCACCAGTTGGTCTTGTCGAGAGAATTAGGTTCTTTTGATGTCGTTACGCATAAGCCCAACAAAAAGCAATTGACGAAAGTGAAGACAATTCTAAAAGTTGACCTTCTAACAAAAGACTGGTTTTCAAGCCCATTATGAGTGAAGTTTCGCAAGCAGAAAATGAATCATAATAATCTAGATAATTTTGTATCCAAAAAAAAAAAACCCTTAATAATTTCAAAAAATATAAAGGCTTGAACCTTGAAGGCTTGAAGCTATTGTAAAAAATTAGAGGCACATTTGCTAGATCCTTTGAACTCAATTTACAGTGGAGTTGGACTAATATAATTTTGATTTTGCAGGTTGATTCTCATGTATCATCAATGTTTTTTGCTAACAAATAAGTACTTGTCGTTTATGAATATTCTAATACTCCAATAACAAGATGATTAACTGCGACAATATATCAAACAGGTGACGGGACCATAAAGGATAGCACCATTATATAGCCATAGGGACCCCTACGGAGTTAGGGACATATTTCTATGGACAATATACATTTTCGATTAATTAGCTTTAAAACATAATTGCCAACAACTTAGAAGGTCTAGCTCATGTGTTCTTATCCTAATGAAAAGGCTATTAATAGATCTCTATAAAGTACATGATCGAATCTTATTTGGGATGGGGTTCAAAAACACTAGAAGCTCTCATCTTTAAGAATTTTGGATATCGTGAAAACGTTTGAAAAATGACAAAAGGATCCGTTAGAAAAAGAAATTAGATTGTTCACGAATTAAATACATTTACTCTTCGGGTAGCACATTATATAGACTGTCTGAAATGGTTCGTTTAAATATTCAGAAAACCTGATGGCTAAGTGCATACAATCCTCTCCCTAGCTCCCAATCCCAGATATGAATTAGGTAAATTTATTTGATTTTTTTAATTAACAAAGTGAATTAATCTCTGGTTCTAAAGAATGAGTCGTGTATTTATTAAATCAGAAAGGTATAATAAACAAAGATCTTATTATGGAACGAAGGAGTATATTTTCTTAGAAGATGAACTAGAATTACTACCTACATGCATGCATGTCAACCACTGAACCTAGTAACAAATATCACACAAAGAATAATACGATTATCTTATTGCAAAGAGAGATCGATATATAAGATCATTTGAGAAAAAGTTATCGAAAGTGAGTTAAGAGTAGGACATTGACGTAGATAATGGCTAGAGATATCCTTCTAACTTTATGTGTCAATTTGAATTTCGTTTATTGTAAAAAGGAGCCAAAGAAAGCATTATATGAATAATAGTATCTATCTAGCTAACAAAGTAAAAGCTAGAGAGCACTACAAGACGTACTTATGGTTTAACTTCAATTGTCTTTACCTTTTTTTTTTTTTTTTGGTTAAGAAAAAGAAAACAGTAAAAGCAAGCCAGAGGACCCTAGCAATATGCTCCCCAATCAGTTATTCATCACCAATGTCTTTATTGTGTCTACTAACATTTTAGTTCTTGCCTATTTATTTTCCTTCAAGTACTTTGGAGTCTCTTTTCATAGTCCCTTTGGTCTTCTTCATAAGACAACAATTTTAAAATTGTGCCTTACAAAGAAGAACGAAAACAATGAAATAGCTTCTTACATTTTACACTTATTTTACCGTCTTGGCTCCCAAAAAAGCTAAAAATTGTTTACTACTCATAGGGCAAAAAATTTTGTTGTTCGAATTGAGTGTGCACAATAACAATAAGAGTGATGAGT